GACAACATAAATATATATATATATATATAAGGATTTGTGAAGATATCACGAAAGGTAAAACAATGTATATGATAAGTTGATTTATTGGATCGTTTTTTAAATCCATTTATTGGATACGTTACTCTATAAGCTATAATATATTTACTTTATTGATTCCATTTAGACGAAAAGAACAAAGTTGAAAGATCGACACTGACACATACTTATATTGCAATATTGGTTTTTAAAAGTAATAATCTTATCTACAAATAATAGTCCAAAGGTAAAGATTCAATCAATGTGCAATGTTCGATAACAATTAATTAATTTATTCTTGCTTGTTTAACGTCTCGACTTAATGTATTAAGAGCAGCAATTTAATAGGTCATTTATTATGATCAGTATAAACGCTCGAATTTCATAACCGCAATTTCATAATCTTATATCAATACATGTCGTTCTCAAAAGTGCACTGTCCAATTTCAGACGTATATTCTGATATAATATAATAACATATTCTTTTTCTGTAATATCATATAATTCATATATTTTTTATTAATTAATATGCATGTTCATGCAACGCATACTTAATTATGTATTTTTAAATATTATATTCCTCTTAGTTTTGTTCTCATATTTACGTTTTTTTAAATCATTAATTATTTATTTTTAATTTGATGGGAACAATGTAAATCGAATATTATATATATAAGCTGAATAAAACGCGATCTGAATATTTTAATCGCATTACGTCTTTGTATTTATACTTCACTTCTTCAATGCGTTATAAATTTTTATTATTTATTTAAATTGTGAGAAAAAATATTACATTTGAAAGCTTAGTGTACGCACACTATTATACGTATTATCTATGCATGCCTTGTTTCTTTTGATGCGTTTTGACACGCAAAAGTTTGCCATACAAGTTGTTGCTGTTGTATATACGTACAATACGCGTACCATTGCAAAAAAAATCTAAAATATTTTATACATATTTTATATAAAGCTTCATTTTTTAAAAATGTACATTGAGGTAAGGCTCAATATGTTTTTAAAACAAATAATATAGAGAAAGAGGGCAATGAGCCAATAATATCGTTAAAATCTTTTTAAATTATAATCTAATATATTGCGAAGAATATCACGTAATTATGGCGTTTCGTCCCAGCTTCCACTACTGGACTCATCAGTAAGGTATTGTAGTGGAAGCCTACCTTAGACGCCTGTTTAAGTTATTATAGATCGAGAATCTATATATACAGATATACGTGTATCCAAGCACTTGCGAGAATTTTTGCGAATATCTATAGACCTCTGATGGCGAGTCGACGTAGTAATATTCATTTTTTATGTAATATTTATATGATAAATTATTTTTAAGTATTTTTTACTTAGATTATAATGCCTCATTGAGTATAATTTTTATAATACTTTTACTATAATATTTACAATAAATATAATATTTGTAATAAATGTTTATATACAATATAATCTATAAAATTTAAAATCAGAAAAATATTTACAAAATATTTAAAAGAAATCTTATATTTTATAAATATTGTGTGCTGTTTAGAATTATGCATTTATTACATTGATTGAACAATTAGAAAAACGAGGAGAGATTAGAAAATGATGTGAAGCTCCGACTGTTACAACGACTTTTACTTTTGTTAAAACACCCATGGTCTTTTCCATCCTCCAAATCGCCTTTGTGGAATATATCTACAATCAGTCTGCATGTGAAATAAGATTTTATCTAATTATCACTCCATCTAATTTGAAATTCCAAGATCGCAAAGATTATACAGACTACACTTTGAGAATACACTTTGATTTCATCATAAAAAACGTACAACGTGCAATTTTAATATTTGCGTTATATTCAATGTACATACAGTTTTCCTTTTAAAACGTTTTAAAACACTTCAATATACGAAGTATATACGAAGTATATTTAAAATAGATTTTTAAAAGTGTTACAGAGATAACAATTTAATAGACGTTTTTAATATAGATATCTGCTTGCACTTCTTAAGTTAATATTCTGTTTCTGTTTATCGTGAAATTAAATAATACATTGATATTATTAAAATAAAAAATGTTTATTCCTAACGATTATTATTATCACAATAAGATACACCATTCGCCAGAAGACGCATTTTTATTAGCATGCTCACTTGTTGATAATACTGCAATAAAAATTCTCGGCAGTTTAATTAACATAAGTTATTTATCTACTTGCATAAAATATATAATAATCAATATAACTACTAATAAAAAAATTAGTAGTTAATTACAAACTAAATTTTTGTTACGTGCATACATTTTAATAAAACGAGAGAATATAAACATTCTAAGTCAAAATAATGAAAAATGAAACACACTATACATAAAATGAAAAATGTGTGCACTTAATTATAGGATTACTTTTACATGCATAATGGCAGCGTTCAGTAGAAAAAGTAGCTTTGGAACTATTGTAAAATTTTTGAATATAATTATTGATTTATACATTTAAATCCAGGGAGGAATTCTAGGAACAAGACCAATCCTAAAGAATTTTACAACAGTTGCAAAGCTACTTTTTCTGCTGAATGCAGCCAATGTAGGAATATCAAAGTAACGTTGGTAGAAATAATGAAAAACTGTAAATTTATTTCAATATGGTCCACACACACACACACACACACACACACACACAATAAAAGTATGTCAATAAATTCCATTATTCAATTGTACATTAAATACTTTATTCATCATCTTGTACAACTGTTGTTTTTTCGGACACATAAAGTCCATCCAAAAACTTTCTGATGTCCTTATTTTTCACTGTAGTGGACTGCTGAATAAGTGCAGCTAAAAATAGAACACATTTATTACGATTATTAAGTTTATTTATTTGTTCAAAAACTAATGATGAATATATAAAGTAATATTTACCTGAACGAGATACATCTTCTAAGGAATTTCCTTCTATAATTAATTCATCTTTTTGTTTGCCAGAATTTGCGACAGTGACACCTGGTGCCATTTTGACACGACGTATGTACTTCTCGCCCAAGAAATTACGAATTTCTATGACTGTATTATTCTCTGTAGTCACACAGTTGATAGGGAAATGGGCATATACAGCTCGCATTTTATATTGATATCCTTTCGTCACACCTTTAAGCATATTCTCAATATGAGAGCATACGGTACGAACGGCAGCTAATTCTTTCTTCGTACCAAACCATTTTTCTACCTTCAGTAATCTTGGGCTGACCATCTAATGTAAAACAAAAAGTACAAACTCATAAGATATAATAAATACTAACGTTCTATATCTAGATGTAGATTGAAAAAAATATTTCAGATTTGGATGTATCATTTATGAAAAATGAAGGGGAATCCAAATTCTCATCATAATAGATATAATTACTTTAGCGTTGGTCAAAATTATAAAGAATTATTAAAAAATAATTTTTCAACAATCATATCATAATTTTATAACATTCTACTTACACGAATATCAAGTGCAAGATGTTTGAAAGATCGTTTCAATACACCTCTTGGTCCTTTTACCGTTACCAGACGGGATTTGACTGTAACAATTAATCCCTCTGGGATTTTTACTGTTTGATTAGTTACTATTTGCTTCATTCTGTAACATAAATAATTTTATATATTTACATTTGTAATATTCGATCTAAACTTAAATTATTATAACAAAGCACTGTATTCTAAGATACAACAGCAGATTTTTGAAAGAGAATTTTAATCAATTATATATTTATCTCTCAAAGAACACAATAACTATAAATGAAGTAAAAAAAAAACCAAATAATATTTTGTACGAGAGAGAGAGAGAGAGAGACACAGAGAGATTCTGAATGAAACAATTTAAATTTCTTACATATACCATTATTGTTTATATTTACTACTTTTTATTAACAAATAAAGTGCTAATATAAATAAAAATTATCTCACAAAATCATTAAATAAACTTATCTTAAAACTGTAATAAGAAAGTATTACTGTTGTATTTTCTTTTTGGTGTATTTACTGTAATATGCAAATACACTTCTTGCGATTATCAAATATGGTAATTATAGGTTAGAACAGGTTACTGTTCAACACCACATGGTCACATAAATTAAAATAGATAAACAACAATCACATTATCCACAAATTTACACATTAATTTTTCATATTTGTAATTTCAACTATATATTTTTATTTAAGTAAAAGTACATGTAATTTTTTTTAGTTCTAAAGAATTATACACACACATTACACCTTGTCGGTGCTAGCGTCTCAAATTTTTCAAAAAAAAAAAATAATATTTTATTACGAAAGTATAAAAAATAACAATGCGAAAAACAAGTAACATCAAATTATCGTATTCCACGCATTAATGGATTGACGCGGATTTTATAAAATATTCTTCATCGCGAAAACTATTACCTTACAGCGTTTACCTCACGACATTGGTCACGTCAGAGAGAAACCTCTGGTCACGTTCAGCAGACTCAACTGTTGCGGGCAGATCCGTGAGTGATTGCTGCTATTGGTGTATTCTTTTAGATCATCCAATAGCAGCGAGCGCTCACGGATCCGCTCCCTGCTGAACGCGACCAATTACATCCGCTGTCTGCCACATATTCTGAAATCTAAACAAGACCGAAATACTGAGATGGCGTCACAATCAATCCTTGTATAATGAAGAATGAAGATAATAGAAAAGCGCGATCCTTTTTGTTGTACTTCAACTATGTTCTTACTTGTCGCGTTAGATGGCGCTGTAGTTCTATAAAATAAATGTCCAACATAATTGGACAAAATTAATGTTCTTAAAATTAACGTTATATTCGAACTAAATTTTTAAAAAACATGTCAAATTGACAATTGTTTTTTATTTATTTTTTTTTTTTTCGCGACTTAACTCTCTTATTTCATACTAATATAAAAATCTTAAACAATATATTTATAATAACATATATTTATAATATATATAATAATGAATATAAAATTATAATTATATTTCTAAGATATGTTATAATTCTATTAAAATTATTTATTTGTTACATCAGTCTTAAATTCTTATTTAGTTTTACTCATGATATTTTATATTTCTTATTTTATATAATAGTATTATAATAATCACAAATAATATATTTTGTAATGTATATCTATATAATACTGTGTGAAGAAAATATTATAATTATATTTCTGAGATATGTATATATTATATATCATTCTTTTCATAATTTTTAAATGTATCTTTAAATTATGTATATATTATATATCATTCTTTTAATAATTTTTAAATGTATCTTTAAAATTACTTCTATAATTATAGTAGAAAAGTAATACATTTTATCATCACGATCACTTTGATAAAATATATCGCATAATATCTCTACTGTATAAAAGTTTTGTTGTGAATTTCACTCAGAAGAGTAAAATCACATTCAGAGATTGAATTATTTTTTTCAATAGTGGCTCAGTTTCATTCGCTAGGTTGAAACTCTATTCAAAAGAATTTAAAGAGTGGGTTTGCTCTTTTAAGCTAAACTTCTTGCAAAGTATGACTATTTTCTTTATTTATCCGACATAAAAAATAAATTAGGAAAAATAAGACACTTGGCGCTGGGCAAATTTTCTATCAATGGATCTCCGGGGACCCAGGAATATTTGAAGAACGATGTCATTATCGACAATTAATAAAAATTTGTAATTATTAACATAAATATTTCGATAATTCATTATTAAATTCATAATTTTCTATCATATAAACGCTGTTATTATATAAATAAGTACGTATACTTTCAGTATTATTAATATACCTACATATATCTTAATATCTCATATATTGCTGAAAAATTACAATGTCTTCTCTACAGTTATCATCTCTATTGATAATTTGATAATCAAACTCGGACGATAACGTTACAGTCAGTTTTTAATAAAAAAATCGAATTTTAAACATACTGCACATATACAAATATCTACGAAACTAATAAATTATAAAATTAGTACCGTATTATAACAGTTACATTATTCTTGATCGTTTAAATTTTAACAGTTACGTAAAAACATCCAAAAAAGCCGAGGACCTTTAATAATAGCAAAGAGAAATCTCTCTGATGGCATCTCGTCGATATATGTGCCTAGAGAGAAATTAAACGGGGCCCGCGAAAGCACCATTCGCTATCGCATTCCAGATCACGGCCCTGCCGAACGGACAGTCACGTGACCTTTGACGCAGCTCTGCTCCATTGCTCCGTCTCGCGCATCGGTCGTGGGTCGTGACCTCGGACACGGCGTGGCACGGCTGACGGCCTCGACGACGACGACGCGACGACCGCGCATCATTTCAGCACAGGCGGCGCACGCGGCACACACAGGAGGCCGTACAGGCCGACTATATACAGGCTCGCGGGCACGGCTCTCAGTGCGAAGCCGGGTGCCGTTCGCGGTGGGGATGCCGCGTCGTTGCGTTACCGCAATCTATAGGGTTCCACGCGCGCTAACGTCGTCCCCACGACTAGACTCTCCCCCGGGTCGAACGCGCGCGCCCCTTACGTGCTCTCGCAGTATATATAGTGACAGTACGTGTTTTCCCTTCTCGCGGCGAGCGCCGCGCTACGAACGCGGGGAGCGGCGGGGTACGGGTACTACGGGCATTCTTTTCTCTTTCTTTCTCCCTCTTTCTCCGTCTCCCTCTCGGGGGGCCTGACGGCGCGACACGAGAGCGTCCAGAGAGCGTAAGGAGCGGTAGCGCGCGCGTTGTTGCGGTCTATCGACTCCTCGGGGGCCGAGCGGGGATAACCGAAGTGCGCGGCGCGAGGCACGCTGGAGGTGCCGCAGCCGATACGCGTCGTGCTATGCCAGTATAAATATTGTTCTGTCGCTCGCGCGGACCGCAGCTTCTCCGCCGCTCCTTCCTTTCATTTATACTCCTCTTTCGTTCATACATCTCCTCCCTTCTTGCCTTTTTTTTTTTTTCATCCTTTCTCTCCCTCCGAATTCCTCATTGTCTCGTCGCTGCTGGTCGCGCGCGTTCACGCTCGCCTCGCGTCATACACGCTCGATCCTCTGCGGCTCCCTCGACGAAATCGCCGAGATAAGAGATTACGGGCGCGAATTCGAGTGATCGCAGTGATAGCCGCGATTCGTTCAGTGATAGACTCCGTATATCTCGCGAATAGAATATGGTCGGAGTAGTTATCCCGTGTAATCCCGCAGTACGCGAAACGTCCGGTGAGTCGCGGTGACCGTGCCGCTCTGTCATCTGTTTCCAAGAAAAGAGAGAGAGAAAGAAGGCGAGAGAGAGAGAGAGAGAGAGAGTGAGTGAGAGAGAAAGGAAGGGAGGAGGGAAAGGCAAGAGGGAGCGAGAGAGGACTGGCCTCTACCTGCCGAGCAGCGGGCGAGCCGAGCGACCGAGAACCCCGCGTGTGTATGTGTGGCAACGTGGTATGGCTCGTCGTCGGTGGTTCCTCGCCGCCTTTATTACAGCGGAACCCGAATGCGTGCGCGAACGCGAGCGTACCCCTCTCGCCTGACCGGCCTACCCCGCCACCGTAAGGCTGCGTTCACACACGGTGAGATTGATTTTCGCGCGGGGACCGTCATCCGGCCGTTCCTCGCCGAGGAGTCGCGTTACCGCGGTTAATGAACGGAACCAACGCCGGCCGATCGTCCAATCAGCTTTTAGGTAAGACCCGCCGGAAAGATTACGACGTGATAGATATCTGTTCTCTTTACTTGAACTTGCACCGTTCATCTTTTCTCTTCCCCCTCCCCCCCTCCTCCTCCTCCCTCTGAGAAGAAAAGATATTATAAATCAAGTTCCGAAGAACTGATCCCGTCATCCCTCTGTTCTCTTTTTCTTTTTTTCTTCTTCTCGTTTGACCTCCAGCGATCGGAACGAGTCGTCGTTGAGAAAAACTCGTCTTTCGAATGGAGAACGAAGTCTTTTCGGTTCGTCGAACCTTGCTGCACCTCGCGGTGAAACACGTGGTGTACGCAGCGAAATTTTCCCGATCTTTAGACGCAATTCAGATTTTGTTTATCAGTGTGTGTACCTAATTTGTTTTTTTACTCAGTGATTCATTCATCGTTCGATAAATTCAGTAGACGCTGTCGAGATTCCACTCAAGGAACACCCTAAGCCAAGAGAAAGTCAAAATGACTTTATTTCGACGTCACGAAAGTCAAAATGACGAGTTTTTGTTGCAAAATTTGATTAGTCTCCCCGAACGCACCTCTTGTGACATTTAGAATCAAAATAACGTCATTTTGATCTTTTGTTGTTTTTTTTTTGTGTTTTTTTGGGCATATTAATAATAATTGATTAATAATAATTTCGATGGTCTTTTTGCACTAAATTTCTTAAAACGCATTGATCATATAAAATCTATTCATGTTCCTTCAGTTCCTTGCATTTTTTACACTCGGCATTTTCACTTTCTCTTTTTTACTAAATATGAGCGAAATACTTTCACTTCATACAAAAAAATATTTTGCTCCTCCAGCTAGAATTATCGCTGTTCTTTTTCGTATCTGATAGAAAATGATAGTCTCATACGCGTGGAATTTATGGCACGAATCTAAATTCTATCTCTGTCATCTATATGCAGAGTACTCGCTAGAAATTCATCTGTTTTAACTAATAACCGCGCGGAAAAAAAATCAACCTCCATCCCCCCCCCTCGACGTCATTAGACGCGCGGAGACGCGCTTGGAGTTCTCTTCCCGAGACAGAAGCGTCGCGTATACGGCGGTTCTTTTCGACAACTTATGCAATGATTCTGCAACCGAAAGCACCAAACGAAGTCCCTTTATTCCCTGCGTCGATCGGAGACGCTTACACGACTCCGGTATCTGAGATATCTCGGATTGCGGCGCAACGTGTTCATGGAGCTCGCGCATTGTAAACAGATGATCTTGACAGCTTCCTCGCACGTATGGTATGCGCCGCACGTGCGTCGCTGCGTATTTCCCGCAGTTCACCGATCGTCCGCGTCCCGCGCACGGATTCTCTTTGTTTGCACGTATACCGTGCTACGCAGGTGTGAACGCCGCTTGGCTCAGGTGCGCGTGCACAAAGGGGCATCTTCGATGATGCATCTCGCGGCTGGCATCTCGCAACGGAAACGGCGCGGCGCGGCGGCCGCGGCGCGTCTCTCCTGCGGTATCGCGAGCCGCGAGTGTACTCTCAATTTATGAAATGCGGCCTGCAAAAAGAAAGTCTAGTAATCGCTACCAAATGTATGAGTGAAATACTTTCACGCGAAAAAATATTTCGCTGCTCCAGCTAGAATTATCGCTGTTTTCTTTTGCATCCGATAGAAAATTATGTATCGTACGCGTAGAATTTATAGCATAAATCTATATTCTATCTCTGTCATTTACATGATTAGATGCAAAATATATTCAATGTCGTAGTTCTTGCTAGAAATTTATCTATTTCAGCGAATTTTTCGTGCCTATAGTTAATTTTCGCTACAACTGCGAGATCAGTTTTTTGAGTGTTCAATCAAATGTTCGGTTCATATAATTAAAAATTGTGTGACTTTTATAAATATTTAGTAAGTATTATCAGACATAATATTCTGAAAAAAATAAAGTTTTTAATATTTATTCAATAGTTCTAAGTAAATATTAATGTGAGCAGTACTTATTTAATAAAAACCATTAATTTGAGTTAACTATCATTTTGTATCGAGGAAATATTTGTTTACAGTCCAGTAAATGTTTATCTAGAATTATTTTAAAAAATATGCATTAAGATTTAGTAATCTTTTTTCAGTGTAAATATCTACAAAAATGAACTGGCTTTTAGTTACATTAATCAAACGTCTAATGAAATTGTTTCACTCAACATTTGGCAATTTTATTTATTGTCAAATTCTCTTCGGTGCGCTACTCTCGGTTCGCGTGCTTGAAGAGAATTTCCCTTGAAAAAAAAAAAAAAGAAAGGTTTGCCAAGGACATTCGTTGTACGAATCAAGTGTCGAGGAATATATGTATTTTGGTGAAGCAACAAATAATTTTATGTTGAGATATTATCGCGTAATTCTTATCCAAACGATAACTCTTATCCGATGATCGCGCGCGTGTAAACGTTCAGTTTTTCACCCGTCGATTTTGTATAAATGAATGCATGTTACGCTCAAAAGTACATCCTATATAAGTATTATCTCTAATTATCTATGTAGAACTTTTTTTAAATAGAAATGTGCTTCGTGGTAAAAATTACACAAATAAATACTTTTTAAAGAATTCACGAAATTTCCGATTCCGGTGTTGGTTAACACCACTGTACACTCAAATCGCATCAATTGGATCGTTATATCGTGAATTACACGTCTACGGGTAAACATACCCGCGGTGTTCCGTGAATGAAGCAGCAACCATGCGCTTACGATAGGAAATCAGCGCTTACAAGTTATCGTGTACCTTTTAAGTGCATCGAAAATGACTATATATGCTGCGCAGTCACGAACGCGCGGTTTAGTAACACGCATGTATCATATACACTCATTGCGCCGGCTTACTTATTTTCATCGCCGACTTAGAATTGCTGTCAGTAAAAAATAAAATTAACGATTTCTCATAAGAGTTCTCGACGTTTAAAGAGAAAACGTTGTCCTAAACATACCCTAATCGATTGAAATCCTCGACTTTTCGAACAAAGAGGAGAGAGTAGAGGATTCTGTTGATAAAAATTAAGAATTTAAACGATAATTCGTTTTGTCCGAGTGCAGAACTAAAAGAAAGAATCAAAATTAAGCCTCAGCTAATTTATTTTACTCACCCTGATGGGAATTGCTTCTTGAGATTAAAGGCGATGGTTCTGACGATGATTCTGATGAAAGATCATCATCGAGACGTCCCGCGTTTAATTCTGCCACCCGAGTACTTGCGTTTGCTGCTGCAGCTTTGAAGCATGAAACGTCTTTGAAATTCGACAACTGCTTTACTTGTGTAGAAATGAGCGTTCAGGAATATTTATCCATGCATGAGAATACTAATGGACCGTTTATTATAATTGCAGCCAGGCTGGACGAGCGTAGTCGAATGCAGCTGGGCTCAGCATGCCCTCTAAGAAGCAATACAACCTCGTACATAATGACGAGTACGACACGCGAATACCGCTGCACAGCGAGGAGGCGTTTCACCGCGGAATCGTGTTCCACGCCAAGGTAATCTGGGGTGATTTCTTATCCACTTCGGTCCATACGGGCAACCTCCGGCTTCTATTCGTTTTTCTCAATTCTCGGCGAGTCTGTCTCGGCGCTCTTGCCAACCTGAAGTACACCTTGCAGCCTTCTATCTTCACGTTTCTATATTTCGTCCGAGAGTCTACGTCGAAAATACGAGTTCTCGCTAAAGACGTTAAAAATGTTTAAAAACCATTAAGCTGGAAAGAAATCATAAAACGGTTATTTAGATAGACTGTCGAGCGACTCTCTCTTAGCTTATGTAAAGCCCGAACAGCTCGAGAAAGATATCGGTCTTTCTACCGATGTAATACTATCAAATTGTTCCGATAATAATTAAGTGCGTAGGTTTCCAATTGCAAAAATTCTATCGTGCGTTTTGCGCCAAGCGAGTGCACACTTTCAGAAAATAGCAACACTAACGGTCGATAGCGTCTCACGTCAGAGGAAAATGTATGTCGACTATAAACCACGCTTCGTTCCTCTGACCGCCGTGCGATGGGAACGAAAGCATCTGCTTTGACATGGTTGCGCTAAAAAAGAATTTTTACGCCTTCCTAGTCCCGTTTCAGTGGGATATTTGTAGTATTATCGACACAATGACGCGAGAAAGGACAAATTTGTGAACGCGAGGACTTCGCGGAATATTGCGTGCGATGAAGCGTGGCTGCGTTAGAGCTTTAATAGCGAATTCGATTGGATGCACTTAATGCGTATTGGTGTATATTAAAGTCATTGTACACAGATTGACGTAAAAATTTGTGTTTAATGTAAATTTAAACGAATTAATCCATGAAATTCTCAATACATTTTATTGTGCTGATTTCATAAATATTTTATAAATATTTGCACTTTTTACTTTTACATATCAAATCAGTGTACGACGGTTTTAATCCTAGAACACCTTCTGAAAAATACTGAAAACACCCCAGTAGATCTGGAAGATCCACTGTAACCTTGATAAGCTGTAACTTCGGTTTAAATTAATATTTATAGATTTTTTTTTATTTCAAAGCTTTGAGATTCAAAAAAGAAAGAATATACCTACATAGATTGTATAAGGTCAAACATTATATTGTTATAAGTTATAAAATAAAACTCTCCCTTTTCTTTTCTTCGGAGCAAGCGAAATTTCAATTTAGAAGACCAAACGCACATATACGCGTTCTAGTTAATATGCACTAGTTCATCCACCGAATTCTCTATAAGCAAATTTGAGAAAGCGACTGAGGAAAATGGGAGGGAGATGTGTGCGGTTATGGTATCTTTTATTTTCTTATCGTTTCTAGTATTTTCCCACAATGGGCAATAAAGACCTCGGAGCGATCCTTTTGCAACGGTACTGAATCGCGAGGCGAACGCAAACTGCCGCAGTCCTCGATGACGGGGAACGAGCTAACGTAACACCAGGAAAGACAATACACTTGGGTCTCTCGAAATCGATTCTAGGAAACTCGCTCGGGTAATATTGTTATGTCGTCGTCGTCGTCTTGGTCGTGGTCGTGGTCGTCGTCGTCGTCGTCGATGGTGCAATAATTGCGACGACAGTTGCGATACCAGGTGGCTTATTTCTGGACGACGACGCCGTTCGCCGCTTTCGCGTTCGCCGTGACGTCATCGTATCGTGCACGCGTTTATTTCGGTGGCACTTCTCCTGAGAAAGGTTAAAGCTTTTGTGTGCACCCCCGCGCTCGTAAATCCCGCACGCCGCGTCGTGTGAAAACCGCTTCAGCATTTTCGACTTTTGATTTATGTCACATCGTTGACGTTCGCGCTTACGTAGGAGCTCGAATCGCGTATCGAAAGACGTCTTTAAAGCAAGTTTCGAACGAACGTTTCTTAAACTTCCTCGGTTCATAGAACTCTGAACGACGCTTCGTTTACTTGGCAACCCGGGAAAAGTATCGCGAAAATGATTTCGAGAAAGAGCGACCTGTGAACTGAATCTTCAGGCGAATTTAAAGTCTCGATCGAAGAGAATTTTCCCTTTTTTCCTCAAGCATTTTTCGATGGCACGAAATAAAAGAATAATCTTATTTTGAATATTAAGAAAAAAAAATGATTTTGTCTAATCCGTAGATATTTGCCGCATAATTAAACTGATTCTGAATTGATAAGTAAATTAATAGACTACAGATCATATTTGTGTTTATATTTAGTGTTAAAACTCAGCTGGAGTCTGCAATTTGTCTTATATGAAAATCGTGCGCACAATGCTGTTCAAGAATCAGATTTTAGCGCTTAGTGGGGCTATAAATATAAATCGATATACACCGCAGAAAGAGAGAGAAACTTCGCTATTAATATTGCATCTACGTACGAAGTAACACACGTATTCGTTACAGAATTGTAATGCAGAGAGAACAATGTAAGTCCGATAACTAAATTTATTCCAATTCAGCAGAATATGCGATCGATTTCAAGTGATTTTTCTGATGAGAAACACGTTAAGTCGAAGTGCGAGATTTTTGAGTTACGCGAGTAGCTTTTCTTCAATTCCTTCTCGGTTATCGCAAGACGCCACGGCTATCGATTGCAAATTTACAAAGAGACCGTCCTTTTCCTGTCATAAGTGAGTGCTTGGGAGAACATCACGTGTGCGTCGAATCAACCGAACACGTGGCTAAGGCCATCGCTTTCAATGGGGAAATTCTGAATACAGATCGTCGGACTGTAATGCTCCTCCCGTAGTATGGTTATGGTAGTGTAATTGCTTGTAATGTGTGCTACAAATGCGAGCGTATGTCATCAAGATCGCACTGCAAAGTTTATGACATTATCCTACCGAGGCAATTACCGGAAAATTAATGGGTTGATTAACGCTCGTTTCTACCAATCTTTGCTTTCCAAGATTAATTTTAATCTTCCCGGATCAATTTATTTTTAATTTTTTTCTACGGCTCAGCTTCAAAACTCGCGGTTAACTTTTAACTGAGATTCAACTTATTTTTTTTCCAATTTTACAATTAGAAGAAATTACAAGGAATAAATTAAACCTCGGTTAAGAGTTAACATGAAATTAGGTCTAATTAGATGAAGATTTTTTTTAGATCGTTTTCTTTAGTTCAGTGGAGAAAATATCTCGAGAGATATGCCAGTTGTATACATCACTCTTCGAGCATCTGGGAGAATTAATTTTAACTTTAAAAAAAAATACGGATCAATAACCGCGCGTGCGATGACTAAACATCGAACCCTTCGCGATACCTATCAAGGTACAAGAAATAAATGTAGTTTTTCTAAAGAGAAAACTACTGCTCACTCTATCCTTCATTCAGGGAATTTTTAGTCAATTGTTATCTCAGCGAACCGCTACGTTTCTTCCTTTTCAGTTCATCGGCTCTATGGAGGTTCCGCGACCGACTAGCCGAGTGGAGATCGTGGCGGCGATGCGAAGAATCCGCGTGAGTACGCGTAATAACTAATTAACCCAGTTAGAGAAACAATTCTGTCTTCGTAACCGCGGATCGTTTCATGTAATTCGAAACTCGTTTGATTCGCAGTACGAATTTAAGACCAAAGGGATCAAGAAAAAGAAAGTGACACTGGAGGTCTCAGTGGATGGGCTGAAAGTGACCTTACGGAAAAAGAAGGTAATCCTTGTTGAACACTATGAGTGCGTTCCATTTGGCGCTCACGAGCCATTATTTGTTCTTATTTAACATTTACTAAGCAACAAAGATAAAGTAGTTCCATGAACGTTGTTAGCGTCAAGTGGAACGCACTGTATATTAATACTCGCTCGTATGTATTATGATTAAACGCTGTCTCACTATTAATCTCAAATCATCTCGTTAACCCTTAAACCGGATAAGCTAATTCCCGTACATAGGACAAGCGAATGGAATGAGTCTGCTAGACTCAACGGTATATTACATAATTTCAAGAAATGAAGAGAAAAAGGAATACATTACGCACATTGACGTAGATTTGAATGATTTAATTCTCTAAAGTTGACGTTAAAATCTGTAACACAGACTGGGCAGATATCTGAGATTTAATATAAATTAATTAAAAAGCACTAATTAATTTTAAAAAATTAAAGTGACATTAAAAAACAATGATTATTATTAATGTTTTAATAAGAATAATTCAACAAATGAATGTAATATAAAGAAAATTAAATTGCTTGACATTTTTGACACACACAAAGATTTATAATTAAATAGTTCCATGGCTCTTTAGAAAATTAAGTAAGTAATATAAAAATTTTCAAAATCTTAACCCTCAGTGTTTGCTAAAAACGACATGTCTCTACTATTCTTACTGCAATCTACTGGTCTCGTGAAATCTGTTTCTGATTTAACTAATTTCTATTTTCTGCGAAGTTACGTTGATAAATATATTTTCTACATGCGATTTCGTCGTTTGCTCGCTACATCAGCACAATTCTTGTACGCGAAAACTCCTCTTGGCGACATCGAAAGATTTCCACGACGTAAAATAAGGACGTCATTCGCGAGTGTTTGGAGGGGCGGAAAAACAAGAGGGGAAAATCGTGTACACTCGATGACGTGCATTTCGTAACAGTGCGATTTATAACCAGAAATGATTTTGGACAAGCGCCACGTTGTCTTCGCACTGATACACATGGGCGCCTTATATATTTTTGATGCTTGCGGTAACCGATAGCGGTAACGGCCAAAAAAATATATCAGCTAATAATATTCTTAAAATAATGACTCGTCATTCGTGACTTTTTGCAGAAGAAACAGCAGCAATGGATGGACGAGAATAAAATATATCTGATGCATCATCCAATTTACAGGTGAGATCGCCTGTTTATCGTAACTAATATTTTTTTTTACCGATTTGATTTATTAAATCTTTTTGCAACTTTTATGTATATGATATGTACTCGTATACATAACGTAAAAATGTCAGTAAATAAATATGATACAAATATCGCATAAAAATAATAAACTTATCGTTCTAAAGATATCACGATATTACGTGAGAAATCCGGAAAATAATGCGCAATAGATGCCTCGGATAATTTTTGAGTAAAATAAATACTGAATGTATGTACTCTCTCTTTCTTTCCTTAGGATATTCTACGTTTCGCACGACAGCCATGATTTAAAAATATTTAGTTACATTGCCCGTGACGGGAGCAGTAATACTTTCAAATGCAACGTCTTCAAATCTAGCAAAAAGGTAAGTGTCAATTTTATATCTGATAGTGATTTAATTTATCTTTAGTGTACATATCATTGAGCTTCCTATGTCGGACATGATCTCGAACTACATTAGGAAAGAATTTTGCAGACATATATGCAATTACACGTTATTTTTTTAGGATTTACTCTTTTATACCCCGCTACAGTTACGTTAAAAAAATAAGGATAACGTTCTAAATTTTTTGCAGTGAAATTTGAGATTGCAAGAAATTTTTTAAGTGAATCTTCTCACTCTAAAGAAATGAAGTCTCACTTTTTCTTTGTAATGAGATTTCACTCCTTCGGAGTGTGAAAATTCATTCTAAAAAAGATGGAAAATTGTCAAGAAATATTTTCTATTTTTTTTTTAAGGATGATTGTATTTTCACTCTCTTGCAGTGAGATTCCACCGCAAGAAATTTACAGTGATAAATTGGCGCGTAAAGGTGAAACCCGGTTGAGTCTCTTCGACAATCCTCATCGATTTTTTTTCTATTTCTGTGGATCCATTTCGCTATACAACCGGCGTCAGATTTACACATCGCGCACGTGCGTGGCTCATACATACATATATACGTACACGCCGCGACAATTCACGTAGCCCGTCGCCTGGCGCTTCATCAACTTACGTTATTGTAAACCTATAAATAAATTCGGGCGTCTCCTCGACGGCATCCCGCCGTCTCCCCCTCGCCGATCATTTTCCCGTCGCGGAGACGGAAGGTGGGACCGTTCGCGTTGCATCCCTGTCGAAGTGAGAGTGTATTTTCGCCTTTTTGCGTGGGTGCCGTGGGTGGAGGGATGGCCCGGTAAAACTGCGACGGGGAGGAAACGCGTAACGGGACCAAGAGAACGCGGTGACGGAGGGACGTGTCGTTTTGTCGCGTATTTGCAGTGGCGGCTCAGTGCCGTTTGGTTATTAAAATAGTCCAGGGGGTAGAGGCCAGTAAGATCTTTCGCGACATCAGCGAGCTGAGGACCAGTGTCTGGCGACTTCTTAGATCCGGAAACTCGCAGGAGGAACGTTCTCCAGGTGGAGCAAGGAGAAAGTCAATTTGCAGACAGAATTTTCAGAGGATATTCTTTGTCCCGTGATTCTGAACCGTTCGCGATTTCTGAGCACAAAGTTAATCTACAAGATTTTTACACCATTGATATAGAATAATAGATACAGATTACTCTTTACGACTTTTAGAATGAATTGTCGCTATGAAGAGCAAATCTCACGCTTAAAGATTGAAAATTGAGCTACTCTTTTTCAAGACTGGCTCAATTTTCACTCTTTAGGGTGAAATTTCACTCTAAAAAAATGACAGAGCAAAGGCATTTATTAATATTCTAAGGCAAGTCCTATATGAATGTGTACAAAAAATGAAAAAGAAAAACGGTAACAAAACGAAGGGAAATGGAGAGATTTTTTTGACGTACCTACCCGTTGCTTCTTGTATACACACGCACATGCTTGGCACTCTTCTTGTATACCCAATAGATATCGGTGAACGTAGACGTTTTCGTGCCTCTCCTTTGTTGAATTATTTGGGGATTCCGGTCGCTTTGAAAATCTAGGTGAATCCAGAAATAACTGGCGACGATATATCTAGGATGCTGCAGAAATATCCGCCTTGGCTGAAAGTTTTGAACTTGCGATATCGGTCAAAAGTTCCGAAAAAGCTTTTTCTCGTTTCTTCGCCGCCCTATTATTATCGTTTACTTCAACTTTGTGAGAACTCCCGGCGACGATTATATGCTCTTGCTCTGCTGATGGGCGGGACTTTGGTCCTTTTCTACCTTATCTTTTCCACGAAACGAGAACTCAGGCTCATGTATAAAGTCGTTTACTTTCGGAACTGTTTCCTCTTTCGGTCGTTTCCTCTTCAAGTTTATTGCCGTCCGCGCAAATGGCGAAGTTTCACTATATGAACTTCGTCCGCCATGAACTTCAACTGTCGGTGAATTTGTTGGAGAATGTAATGCAACAATTGTATATATACTACGTTTATATGGACTCGAAGGATTTCCAGACGGGTTTGTTACACTCACTTGGTCGATACGTAGGGACGTACACTTAGGGAGCTATGTAAGATAATTGCGAATTGTCACAGGAGAAGGCTTGACACGCGATGATATATAATTTATCAACCGGGGGATATAGGAGTTCTCGAACGGTCGACCGTTAAATGACGTGCCGCGCCGTCGGGGTGGGCTGTAGAATAGCATACGTCGTGCGAATTTCGCGAGCGTCGCTTTCCGCGTTCTCCTCGTTCCGTACGCCCCATACCCTGGACTCACGATTCACTTTTGGACACAAAAACAGAAGTACAAAGCCATCGAGCCACTTACAGTTTCTTCAGTCTACTCAATTTCCATCAATCTGTCTGCGGTAGAGCGAGGCGGACAGGCGTAATTAAGAGAATAGACGGAACGCGTAAGTTGGAGAAGTTATTTATACGCTTTTGGAAAAGAAAAGCTACTGTAAATACGCGGAAAATCAATTTGAGAGAGAGAGAGAGAGAGAGAGAGAGAGAATCACGTCGATTAAAAACTAATAACGTCTAATAAAAATCGTCGCTATGCTTAATCTGCTGGAGTTAACATCAAAATTTGTAACACTGTTACAGATTTACCAACACACCGGAATGAATATTAAATCAATTTTGGTAACGATAATTCAAATTTGTAGATAACGTAAAAAATATAACCGAGACCCACACACGTCAGCTCCGAAAAATTAATAGCTGTAGTGAAAAGAAAAAAAGGAGATAAAATTTGCATGGCTGAATTAAAATAAATAATATAGATAAATTTTTTCACACGATCTCTCTCTCGATATTTAATCTTAAAAAAAATTAAATTAAAAAATTGGATTGTAAGATGATCACGTAACGGAGTAGTAATACGCAATTGCTCGAGTACCTCATACAATGCAGTTAATCCGAGAATAATCGCTTGCCTATATCTCGATTCTACACGGCATAGCTATAACAGATCGCCCACGACCGCGGTTTGTATATTAGAAAATGACCGATTTAAATCTAGAATTCTCAAGCAAGTTCTCCCGGCTATTTACTCTCCGCTATTCACTCCATTTACTACTCCAGTTAAGAGAACAGCGGCCAGTAAATCAACGAGATAGCTTCCCCGAGCTTACTCTTCATCGCTTCGCCGTACTCGAGGAAAGAAGATAAAGAAGAAAGAGCGCGATACACAGGAGCGTCTCGTAATAAAATACAAGATCAATTGTTTAGGATGAACATCATAACCGAGGGTCGAGTTTGGATGGACAGGGAGAGAGAGAGAGAGAGAAAGAGGAAGGGAGGTGCCATTGAGCGGGCCGAAAGCGAGAATATTAATGCGCTTATAAATAAACCGGAGGAAAAATCCAGCGAAGCGTGTGTAGAGCCCCGACGCGGGCGACGTGATGCTTGCTAGCCTCTGCACGTCGCCGGCCAAGAAACCGCGGTAGGAAGCCGCACGGTTAACTTCGGCTCTCGCGTTCCCGTTCTCGCGAGGACTTGTACACAAATCGGCCGCGTTACCCTCTCTTCCTCCCCCCCCCCCTTTTCCTTTTCTTTCCCTCCATCGCCTCCGTCTCGTTACCCCAATAATCCGACACCCGAAACGAATCCGGTGCAACGACGCGCCGACGACCTCCCGCTGATGGGTCTCGCGGCGGAACTGTGATTCTGCGCAAGCGGCGAGATTAAATATCGCGTCTTGTTGGTGATTGAACGATCGGGCGCGAATTAAGAGCTACGCGCGGAGTGGAAATAATAGGATTGTTCGATTACGAGACGCGGGATCGCGAGACCCGCGTTTAACATGACAGCGCGCGGCGACGTAATAAGACGCGCGTATACAGTGATTTTGACGAGCGAACAGTGAGATGCGTGTCGAGGTAGACGATAACCCGTAATGACGCGAATTGACGAGTTTATTTTCATACCTTCCTCCGGTTAAGAAGCTGTAATCTCGGTGCGTGTGCGTGCGTTTGCACCGTTACAGGAAAATAATTTGAGATGTAACGTGCACTTCTACTGAACACACCGTTGATTGCAAATGTGTATTTTGTTGCTCGAGCATTATACTGATCGATGACGAATTTTCTCATGTTTAAAAAGACATTTAGGTAATCATCGTACGAAGTTTTCAAAGCTTTTACTGTAGGAGCTTTGTGACTGCGTTTTTCCTCCACTTTTTGTCATTTTGTTTTTTCTTATGTTTTTTTTTTTGTACATTATAAGCTAGTTTGTTCCCGCAGAATTGTATGAAAAACAGCCGGCCTTAATTTCTTCATAAAACTGCTGATCAAACATGTCTCATAACGAATCTCTCAAATTATGTACATACTCTGCCTTTAAAGAAATGTAATACTGAAAGGTAATGATTAATTAATACTGAACACAAAGTGCTTTTAATACTAAAAATAAGTAATTAATCACTATATTTCAGTGTTAAATTGACTAATATTTAGTTGGATTTCTGTAAGGATGACTGACTTTTTGTGATACTTATTGTTTTCAGAAAAGAATCGGAAGCAGGATATGTAGAGTTTACATATAGGAACTACATTATTTTATTAACAGTGTTTTTTTAATCTTTATACGAAAAAGCGACAGAGATATTATAAATGTATTTTAGTAATATACCGAAAAAAAATTTAACTTATAAATTTTAATAAATATTTGTTCAAGTATGTAGTAAACCACTGAGACATTCACTTACAGATTTTAGATATTTTTTTCTTTTCGACTTTTAAAGACTCGAGAATGAGATTTTTTTAAGCTAAAGTCGATTGTCGCGTAATCCGTCGCGTCAAAAGAATCGCCAAACACGAGACAATACGCGGCTATTCTCAGGATGGCAACCAGCGACGGTTTCAAAATTACGCACAATTTAGCGGGGAATTTGCCAGATTGAATCCACGACGACTATTTATAATTGAGAACTGTCTGTGCAGACAGTTATTATGCACGCCAACATCGATTCTTCGAATCCGCGGTCATATATTGCGGATTTGCACCCGCGGATGTTAAATAAATTAATAAATAAATACGCGAAGAAGACACGCGGATGAAGTACGCTTTTTGTTTATGAAAGCGAACACGCGGAAATCCGGGCGGCATAGCATGCGAAGTTCTGCGATTTTTGCGTCAGCAGTTACGATTAGTTACTAGGAATTGTCGGTGCAACGCTATTACGGTATTCCACTTCGACGGTCGGTGTCAGGGTTAATGCATTTTAGACATTTGCGAATGTTTACTTAAATATAATTCGTGTAGAATATGCGCGCGTTTCGCATGTATTGACGTTTACGCGTTCCTAATGGACAACCATGTTATTTTATAAGAAAAGATTATTGTTTGCACAATTATATCCGTATAGGACGTATTTTCCGATAGGAAAATACTACAAAGATTGCAATTTTGGAATAGATCGTTCTCGTGAAAATTGTTTAAAAAATCATCAATTAAGCAGAATGAAACGAGGATAGATACCTTAGAGAAGAACGATCTTGCGGAAGAATATAAAGAACATAAATCCGTATACAAAAATCTAAAACTAGCCAATTTATTACTAAAAGACTGTAATTAATTATATATGTAAAGTATTAAAAAAAAGTACTAAACAACAGTGCTTTTAATACTTAAAATAAGTAATCAATTACTGTCTTTCAATAAAGTATTAGAGTTTTGTAAGGGATAATCTCAAAATAATAAATTAATGAGAATTAATCTCTTTTCACACAGAGATGCGAACAAGTGATAAAATTCTACTTAACTTCGGACAGACTTCTATTTTATCAAGGATTAAAATGTGACACTAAAACGTGGTATATACAGAGGATAAATAAAATTACGTAAACATCTAGGGCATATATATATATATATCTTTAGACTTTTTTATATCAGATTTAAAAATAAAGGAGATAGAGAGATCCTTGACGTTTAATTTCTCACGCACATTAGCCGCGGATCATTTGGTGTATAAAGTTTCATACGTGTTTACGTTCTTTACGGCCTCGACAGGCTGAAATAAGTTCAAAGGAACTCTCAGAGTAAACGATAAATTCGCCTTTGTGCCATGGAGTGACGAATTATCTAAATAAAAAAAATGTAGCTTGCGAGAGGATCGCGCGGTGGATGACAGCATCCGCAGCTGCGAACATGTGAACTTTCGAAACGAATGCGAGAGAAAATCGTAAGCTATGCTTAAAAATTCTTTAAGAGGCACTGCAATGGCCTCGTCCGAACCGTCAACACCAGCGAGTCCTGGTCCTAGCAGTCCTCTAGGCTTTGAAACGACACCCAGGCCACGCAAAAAGCTTTCATTCAAGGAACCCGAGACATTCAACTTCTTCAAACTACGGAAGCCGTCGATACGGCCGAGACTGATACACGCGCAAAATAGTATCGACCTCAGCTTTGATGAGAATCCTTTTGAAGAGGAAAACGAAGATCTCGATGAGCTCGAGGTAAAATCTCTAATCGTGACATATCTTTTACTGAACATGAAGAAAACTATATTTTTCTAAACGATTGAATGGAGAAACGATCCAATATAGGAAGCTCATTGATGTATCTTTATAATATCATTTGTCACTCAATAATCTTTTTTTTGTTTTAAATAATATTCTTATTACAATAATCGTATGTTATTCTGCTGCTCGTGAAATTGCACGCGAAATGATTAGACGAGAAACTAATGAATGTGGTTTAATTAGAGTCAAGCAATGAGGGTAGTCAGAACAGTCGGCCAAGCTTTCGAAGTGTGCCATAAGTTAAGCATAAACAATACGGAGGATCGGGGAGAGAAAGACGGGGAGAATCACGGTGAAAATTACGGTGATGTTTACGAGGACCAAAACGAAATTCCTAACGAGCAATCTCAGCCTTCTCCGACGCCGGTACATAAAGGTGAATGTCATTGATACTGCATAACCAATTTTTGTGGTACATTTTGGTTTCTTTTGATTTGATTTTAATTTTACGACAGAAGTAATTTTAACAAAGTCATATTACATGAGGAGCAGACTTCCAAAATGCATTTTGTCCAAATGTTATTTTTTGAATTAGGGATGGTATAATAGTCAGTTTTGAAAGATTCATATTTTAAGCTACTCTACGATATTCTGAAAGCATTTTTCCATTCATGAAGTTATGTGCTGAAAAAAGTTTAGATGTTCGAAGGGCATTATGTCCTTTAACTAGAGACACAAAATATATTTGTTTAATATTATTAGAAATAGTTTAGCTATTTTGTTTAACATTTTACATTCTCCTGATTGGCAAATTATTTTCTGTAAGGTTTTCTTGTAGCTTTCTTTCTCGTTTTATGAAAATTATAAATTTTGGACAAAATATGTACTTTGATAGTCTGCTCTTCGTAAAACGATAAAAACAATTCTCCTTCAATCATTTTATTTTCATCTCCGCCTCTATTTGTAACGCTTGTCACTTCTCTTGTATTTCAGACATATCATTATTGGGGGATACTGAAGATTCGGTTCCCGAGCAAACGTCCGTTACCTGTCTTCTTCGATCGCACGATGGACCGGCGACGACAACCTCTACCTCACCAATCAGACAGTCGCCGTCGGTGAGACAATTAGAAACGTATAAATAGGACGAAATCGGTGCATGCTATTTTAAAATAAAATCGTCATTAACTAAACCTGTATCATATACAAGTGAAAGATACTTTGCAGAATGCTTTGGCAGCTACGATGAAGTCAAAGCCTTAAAATAAAATAGCTCGTTATCTTACTCTTGCTTTATGGTAACGTATTGTTTACCACTTTCCAAGTTCTGTCACTGGTACAACTCGTAAATTCTAAAACGTTTTTGCACTCCATTTCGCAACAGTTTGTCTTACTTTCTTATGGATTTCGTGACAATTCATTTATACTTTGAAAGTATACTTTGAAGTAACTCTTTTATGTCTAACACGTAGTGCCCTATGCACGAACTCGTTCTTGCACTTTTCCCTTTGTCATTATCTTGCGATATTTATAATAACGTACATAATTTACAAGTATCGATTTATTTGTTTCCTTTTTATAGGGCACAGTAGCCTCCGAGTGCGGAGGTTTATTGGTGGGAGGCGAATTAACAGCCCTGAAGCATGAAATACAGCTTCTGCGTGAACGTTTGGAGCAACAGAGTCAACAAACTAGAGCTGCCGTTGCCCATGCACGACTTCTTCAAGATCAGTTGGCGGCGGAAACGGCAGCGCGTGTCGAAGCTCAGGTATAAATAAGTGAATCAATTACCAGAACACATAAATATTTCAACCATTTCAACACTTGCCTATGAGCGATTTACATATAACTGTACAAAACTTAATTTATCTCAGCGTCTTACTTTGTCACAGCGAACTAAATTTAGCGAATGCAAAATAATACGTTTTATTGCTATTATCTTTTTTTATTCTTTTATTATATTTTATTGTGTCATCGACTGATATTATCCGTGCACTTTCTCCATAAAAATGTGCTTGGGAAGAAAGTGCTTTTTAAATCGACGAATGAAAAGTTCGATTATTATGAAAAGTTTTAACAATTGAAATTCTACTTTAATTATGAGTACGATTGTTTCTCGTTTCAGGCGAGGACGCACCAACTTCTAGTGCAAAATAAGGAATTGCTAGAACATATAAGTGCGCTAGTGGGCCACCTGAGGGAACAGGAGCGTGTTTCCGGTGGTCATGTCACCTCGCAATCGCAAATCCCGACGCCCGCGTCCATGCAACAAAACGCAGCGGTTTCCGACCTATCAGGTCTCGGCCAGGTAACGCTCTACCGAATTCCATGACACGAGTGCTCCGGTGGAGTTTGGAATCGAAGCACCGACTGACCGAAACGACGTTGCATCTCGATTAATGTTTAACAAAACGCATCTTGTACTTCTTTTTTTCTTTTTTTTTCTCTGTTTTAATATCGTTAACGCCTTTTGTACTGATTTCTCCTTTTTTTTAACTTTATAATAAAACGTTTTATACACACTTTTGGTTTTGCACCTCCTCCCCCTACATTACATTTCATACCGGCGAATGTGTACTTCCTAATGTGTAATATTTCTTTTATACCCTGATGATTTAGCGATGCACGCACTATGTTTTAGGCGTTTTCGTTTGGGGACGATAAGACGTCGACGGCGAAAACAGCCGTAGCCTCGACTATTTGCATTTTTTGCGCGAGCATTTGCGCTTCGACCCTCACGGCGCAAAAATTACAAAACGACAATCAGAAAGATCGCTGACCGAAATCTGTACTAACATCGGTAAAAATAATCGGGGGGCGAATGAGTTTTATACATTGCTCGAGTGATTTGATTTTACGCAATGCGTTGCGTATATACCTTGTCTCTTGATTACTTACACGTGCATTTGCATCGAGGTATCTAATTGCGAAAAATGAATTTCATACTAAGATACAACTAATCTAATAACAAATTAAGCACCAGTATGACGGTGTTGTCTAACAGGTCTTCACACGGGATTTTGGAGTACGTGCTACCAACGAATGCTAGGTAATATTATCATTACTAAAATCTATCGGTATAAACGATCGTAGTCAGACATCAAAAGATGGCTCAGTTCCAAAATATCTAACAAAATATTCAAAAATAGAAAGAGGTAAGAGAACAAAGATGCACAGATTCAAGAATTTTTAATGTAAAAAATTTTTGGACCATTTATATTTTCTATATATATTAATTTAAATTCACGTGTTATAAATACATGAATTATGTTCAAACTTGCATGTATTTCAATATTCAAATTTTTAAAATGAAGGTTATATTATATATATATATATATATATATATATATATATATGTACAGGATGGTCCTTAATTATGCAATATATTAATGCTTCATAAATCGAATCTAGAGCTTAAAACATTTAAAAAATAAACATGCGTGCTATAAGTATAACAAAAAAATTTTTTGAAATTAATTCTAACTCAGAAAATATTATCCATATGATGTACATCGATATAATTTATTTCTCTGTTTTGAACTGTAGATTCCTCTTAAGAGAAATAATCAAGAATCATCCCTGTATGAGAACAAATAAATATAATTATATAATATAACTATAACGTATAATAAAACAGAAAAGACGAAGAGCACTTTTGTATTTCTTGAATATTGTGGGCTTCAAAGATCTTGTTCCCCAAACTGCATATTCTCGGATAGTGCCAACGGACTGCGGGGGGTCAGAGTTCGCCATGGGAACTGGATCCACCGACCTTCCCCTACTGTACATATCCGTCTGAATCGCTGTATTCCGGTGGTCTCGGCGCCATGGGAATTCAGAGTAATAACACCGCCACAGATCAACTACAGTTCCAAACGCAGCTGTTGGAAAGGCTACACAACCTAAGTCCGTTTCAGCCCCAGAGATCGCCCTATAATACACCGTCGCCGTATGCGATGAGCACAAGTCTACTTCTACCTCCATGCAGCGGGCCAACGGTGAGTTTTCCCCTTTACAAAGCTGAATTTTCATGTAAGCTGTATGTTTTAATTTTACCATAAATAAATTGCAAACGTAGCCAAACTATCAAAAATTACAATAATTTTCGTACTATCCATAATGAATAATTTAGTAAATATAATTTTCTTCATTTTTTTATCAAATATTTTTAATTTAATATTATTTCTAGACAGAAACAAATCCCACTTGACGCTACACACACAAATTAAAATTCTGTTTCCTTAATTTTCAAAAAATATTTCTTTTACAACTTTTTCAGAATTCAGCTCAACTGTCGCCAAATTCTGCGTCTCTGCGAGTCTCTCAACCAAACAGTTTCTCCTCGTCTCCGATCATGACTCACAAGCTGGAAAATTATGGAATGGATAATTCGGACAACGCTTTCATAAAGCCTTTGCCATGCATCAACGATAAAAACATGGCTCATCCATCGGCCGACGTTAAAGTCAAGCAAGAACGTTTGGATCCTTCCGAAATACCTCCTATAATTCTGGACCCTCCACCACAAGGCAAACGCACTGACAGTATGGTCAAGAAAACGAGCACGAGGCAAAGTTCGATAGCTCAAGGCACGCAGGACAATAAGAATAATTTGCAGAGTCCGAGAGGTTTGGCGACCATCTTACGATCCACAGGTCCGCCGCCTTCCCGTACGACGAGTGCTCGACTACCCTCTCGCAACGACCTGATGAGCGAAGTGCAGCGAACGACCTGGGCTCGCCACACCACCAAATGACGGGACAATGTCCAACCTACAATAATGCGAATCTACGTAACCTTTAACGACGAGAGAAACAAAGTCGACCATTTCGTTAGAATTCGGAGAAAACACATATCCTAATATATCTTATTAGTCACGAATCACGAGAAAAGTTACGCGTGATTTGATTTAACGGACGACAGGGTTTGGCATTTTCTTCTCGATCGCTCAAAGTCAAATCCTTCATATTTAGAGATTTGTAAGATGTATAGTATATATGATTTTTCGACACGTATAATTGGATTGTAGGAAAACTATCAAACGTATATAAACGTGAAAATTTGTTACCAATAAGAAATAAGAATTTTGAGAATATCTTTTACAAAGATTTACTCTAGATTACTCAGTACAGAGTCAATATAAATCATAGTATAGTATTATAATATTCCTATGACGAACGTGGAATCGCGATTTTCAATAGACATTGTACATTCGTTTGTATCCTACGAGTTACGTCCGTGGAGTGTTTGTAAAGAATGGAACAGTAGTCGCGTTCGGGCGAATTAGTGGATATATACCTCACGTACGTCTCGCGTGTCCGAAGAGACGCATTGTAATACGTAATTCGTACATTTATTCGTATCGCGACATTTACAGTGTATTCCCATGTATAAAAAAATCGCCATTTAGCGGATGAACTTGTGCCAAAAGTACCAATTGTCTTAAGAGAGTTTATTTTCGGTATATTTTTAAGTAATGTAAAAATAAAGATAAGCGTGATCACACAGAGTTGCGGCAATTATATCCTTCCTATCCTCAGCTTTGCATTGCAGATTCGTCATCACATAATTAGCTTACTTGAGCAAAGTAATTTAAGACCCTGCATAAAAAGTTATTAGGACACAATAATATTATTATAAAGGGATTTTTAATTTTATTTGCGTAATTGTTTCCTTCTTCTTCAGCCCTTGGCCTCTCTTGCCCTTGGCTTGTAGCAATGAATAATTACATTCGTGATACGATCTAATATTTCTGAGTAAAATAACTCAAATTTGCGTGTGAGCGGATAATACGTTCGCTAATGCGACAAAAAAGGGAATGCGTGTTGGGGCGGCTTTTAACATGCATACGTTAATGGCACGACAACGTTCTTTATTGCGAATACGAATATACCAATAGCTGTTCGAGTTCCAGCAGACAGTATGTCGGCAGATTGTTACAAGCGACGGATCAGATAATCTCCAAAGAATATTAAATCGAGTATCGGTTCTTTTCACTCTCAATAATTCTGTCGCGCGTGAATTACTGTGCGTTGTATATTACATTGATTAATGTGGTGCCAATCGAACGCTTCTTATTATCAGCAGTTTTTTTTTTCAGTTTTTCTATACTCAAACGATTTAAATAATTACATTATTTAACGCATTTTTCTTGCATGCAGAAAATATTGCGTATATACTATTAATAATTCTTGGAAAACGTAATTAATATTGGAAATATTATCATCTGATTTGTACTTATGCATGCAAGTTGACTCAACTCGATCGATGGATCAGACAAGAATTCCTGGTATTCTAAGACTAGACAAAACATATTTTTCTGAGTGTAGAACCACGCCTTGGACATTGGCTACGAAGGTATTCCATTTTACTAAGAATTTCATTTATATCTTTTCTTCCTCTCTATTATAGTTTATAAAAATAAAACTAGATAAATATATTTTAATTGTGGATATATTTTAATTGTTTCCTTTAATTTTATTAAAACTATATCGACTTATTTCAATATAATCCTTATTAAAGAGCATTGGATATGCTACTTCTTATCAGAATTTTTATCATAAGTTAGCGTAATGTAAGAATGAATTTCACAAAACATTATATCTGAAAGAATTTTATAGAAGTTATGGGGGTAAAATTGAAAATAAGAAAATAACGAATTTTTTCATTATGAATGATCCGATTTCGACGAAAAACAAATATGTTATAGAGTTCAATAGAGTTTATAAAAAGTTGTGAAAACTCTTTTTAAAAAAACCGGTAAAAAAAAATTTTTTTATCATTAAATTATTTCATCCATTGAAGAGAAATTAATTCAGCTTCATAAATTAGAACACAGACAAATCAATTTCATAAATTAGAGCACAGACTAATTTACAATCGATCGCCGAAGCTCACGAGCATTAACTAAAATTACGTCGGACGATGCGCAGTGTGGGAATGATTTTCGTGAGATCGCGTGTAACACGGTATAACGATAGTAATCATTCCCCCGAGGAAAGTGATTACTTGCCAAGCAGAAGGGTGGAGTCATACAAAGAACGAAGAATATCACTGGTTCATACGAAAAGAAAAACTTTGAAAGATGTATATCGGATGCTGAATGTCTCTTTATCTCTTAAATAATATAAAATAAAAATATCTTAAATATGATGTATATTTTATTTGATTATATAGAGAATCGTGGTTTTTCTCATGAAACCTACGATTATCACAGACTCGTTGATCCCTATTGATCAATGTAGATTGTAGGATGTCCTGGGGTGTGTCGCGTCGCGTGTGACCTCGAATTAACGATTATCTGCAGACGTGAATGAAAGAATTCAAGTCCTGTCGTGTCAAAAAGAAACCGAGACAACGAAAGAAGAAGAAATGTAAATGGCATAGAATCCATTTGAAATTAAAGTTCGGTCATATTTCAATAGACTTTTGCGCTTTTCTTATCTTTGTTATAAACAAAGGATTGTAAAAAAATCGGTTTATGGACACACCACCTTCTACCATTTAATCGTCGACTCTTGTTCGTCCGCGTCGTTATTTGCGACGTTATAGATATACACGTTTCGATTTATGGGTCGACTCTAAGTAGAATCGTAAGATTTGTTACTTATTCTCGTAAAACTTGTAAGAATTTGTACAGCACTCTAATTTTATGTACATGTATCATAAGATGTACGATTATTAGTAAATATCTATTATTTCTTGTAAATCTTATGGTTAGTAAAAAGCTGTCTGTTGAGATATTTTTATTGATGTAAAGGCATTTTTATTAAATAAAATATTTTTTTATTCTTTGTACTCTTTTCACAAAATCAAATGGCACTTAATTTTCATTAAAAAAAAATACAGAGAATTTTAATTGAAGCGTTAATCATTTAACATTGAATGCTAAAGAATGTTAGTAAAAGACTAAATCGAAACGTATAAATATCTACATATTGAGAAAAAAATTATTAATTTTTAATAAATATTTCTTTGAATAATTCAAGAGGAATATTTACTTACGGCAAATAAATATAAATGAAAAAAGTGGTATAGTGTTGAATCAAACTAGATAATGGTTCTTTTATCTAATAAATATGTGTTTATAATTTCTTAAATATTTCTCTAAAACTATTCAAAGAGATATTTATTAAAATTTAGTAATTTTTTTTCACGATATAACGTGGTAAATAGCGACGCGAACGAAAAAATGTCTCGGACGAACAAGTGCCAAATGTTGAAGGATAAATACTAGACGGTAAAGTGGACGAAGATATGTAATTACTAGAGTCTAAACAATAAAATGTCTTACGAATAATTGTCGACGATGAGATATTTAACGATGAAATGGTAGAAGGTGTAGTGTCCATAAACCTAAAAAATCAGATTAAATACATTTCACTGACTGAGTTTATTTAATCCCCTTATCTTTGTCATCTCGTAATTAAGAAAGTTCCCGATTTCGCTTGCAAACGGTAGTGATTTTCGGAGTAATTTTTACGTAAATCAATTTCAACGATCTCTCTGGGTCACTGAGCTTTTCATTACTCGCGTGACTCAGGGAGATCTATGTTCGAAGACAGTAATTGGTATCTTTCGCCGTTCGTAGGTGGGTCCGTCGTCATCCCCGTCGCAGTCGGTCAGTCGACAGTCGGTTACGTTTAGTATTGTTGAATGTCAGCAGAACGAGGATCTCGTTGAGGAAGATGAAAGGTTTCAAAACGAACGCATGAACACGAAACGATTTCACAACGATACGCAGCGCATCTCTATCGCCGGTTAGTGAAGATAATTTTCTTTTAACGAAGAAACATCAGGGCATATCGATAGCCTTTGAGTGACATGCGACTGAGGGTGGAGAACTCTGTCAAATTTCTTTGAGTCTATTTCGCGTCTAACTTATGGCAATTTTCGATGATCCGAGAAGCGATGTCCAAGCGAGCGAGTCCGAGAGGAACTTCACCGGCCCCAATGAAGAAGTCAACCGCGAACGACAAGGAAAATGATAACGAGGATGATTACTCGGCGTCAGTTTGCGCGATAATGCAACAGCGAAATTCAACACGACGGCAAAGTCGTCGGAAGCGACGCCCGTCATCGCCGTTCGGCGTCGACAACGCCGACAGCGTCGCACGCCGTCGATCCTCGGTTTACACCACGAGCTCGGGAGAGTTAGTATCTGCGACTTTCAAAGGACTAGAGTGGATCACTCAAGTCCATCACTTGTGATGTTTACTTTATCGTAAAAATTGCTAATTGGAATTAAATTAATTGTTTAATGAAAAGAGCGGTATTATTTAAATCTCGCAGATTGTATGGAGTTTATTCGCGCTCTAGTCCTTCATCCAGGAGCTGATGAGCTTCTTCACACTGCTAAACTCATTGTAGCAAGAAAGATGCGAGTATAGCATTCCTCACTGAATTATATAATATTATATATATAATATATGTAAAATTTTATGAGCCTTTTTTGTCGTCTACATATAATATATTACATTGCCATTTAAAATACTTATTTTCTTTATGTAATTTTAAAGTTTATACATTCTACACTAAAAAGATAAATATGAAAAGAAAATAAATTATTTAATGACAAGTTACTCTTATCAAAGTTGTATAAAATGCTCATCTGTTTTATAATAATTACTTTATTATAATATTTTTTTACCAAACTCTTCAAAATTCTATCTCGATCGAAATGCTACAATGAGTAGCACAACACTTAAGTTAACTGTTAAGTTTTGGATTATTATAATAGCACAATAATTACGATGGAAGAAAGCAGTAATCAGGAGCAGATCTTCGAGAATCTCAGTGTGCACAAAGAAGTTCTATGTGGCATAAAGCAGCAGCCTTGGCCTCTCCGACGAAAAATCAAGCTTGTACGACAAGCTAAAGCTTACATCAGTCGACACGAAGGCGCTCTGCAGGAAAGACTCGCTCAAAGTCGCAGCACTAAAGACATTATAGCACGCATATCGCTTTTCATGACTAAGGTAGCGATTCTGTTGTAAAAATTATAAAAATTGTAAAATTGTAAAATTTTAAGTTAACATATTGATAGCAACTACACTGTTTTTCGTCCGTTTAGAAATGGCAATATTTTCGACGTGAGCTGGTCAATCTGCAAACATGGCTCATACCTTGGGAGGTCCGTATCATGGAAATAGAATCCCATTTCGGTTCCGCCGTTGCATCCTACTTTATTTTTCTCCGTTGGCTCTTCTGGATCAACCTCGTCATCGCAGCAACTCTTACAGCGTTCGTTGCGATACCTGAAGTAAGATATAATTCTAGTTAGTAAAAATGGCATTTTAGCTTTCAGGACAGTTTATCAGTTGCTGTATTAACAAGATACTTCTTTTAATTCGTCGCCAGGTGTTGACCGCAAACGCGACTCTTGCCGGTGAGAGAAAGATCATGCCGAAAGAAGAGACTATCAAGTCGAAGGATCTGTTGACTTTATGGGAATTTGAGGGTGTGCTAAAATATTCCCCATTTTTCTACGGATGGTACACCAATCAAGACTCCAGCAGCAATTACAGATTACCATTAGCGTACTTCGTCACCAATCTGGTTGTCTACACATACAGCTTCGTCGCAATTCTGCGCAAGTACCGGCTATGCTCTCGTCGTGTCACTGAACCTCACAGCATAGCGTCTTTCACTTTGAATTGATAGTCGTATTTTTTTTAAACATCTTTAAATAAAGTTAGATAAAATTAGAAAAATTCTAGCTTTAGACAAAGTTAGAAAAATTATAGTGCGTAAGAAATATACTATACATTATTTCTTGAAAAAAGATATGCTGCGAGCGTCCATTAAACGGAATTATATTTTGGATTGGGGAAAAAGTCTTTTTATTCGTATGTAAAAGGATCTTTATATTACAATATATTATTGTAAAGTTAAAATTGAACGAAATTTAAAAACAAAAGGATTTTAAAACTTGAAATCTCTATTTTCGAAAGGTTACTATATTTGTAAGTTTCTGTAAGTTTGGTAATTTTTACATATAAAAAATTACGAGCTGAAAAAATGAAACATTTTTTTTCACTTTGCGGATCTTTTATGTGCCAAAAAAATTTGCGAAGATTTTCCACTATCTATCGTGAAAACTTGAAACTTTTCCTACGAAATCGTTTTTGAAAAATATCCTTACGATTTTATATTTCTGAGTTATTCGCGAGTTAAGTAAAGGAGCATTCTGATTTTGATTGCTCGTAACTTTGTTAAAATCATAATGCAATTGAAAAAAAAAAACAGATTTTTAGAGCTGAAACTTTGCTCTATTGGAAATGACATAATTGCAACAAAAATTTCGCAACAAATGGTGGGTTTGGGAGAAGGGTGCTTTACTTTTAAAAATCCTCTTTTGTGCAAAAGGATTTTTTCCCCAGCCCAATGTTATAAAAATATTTTCCGTTACTTCTGAAATTATTCCCATAATATATAGAAAGGTGACGAGGCAAGCACATGGATACCTTGTTTCAGAATGGCGAAGAACTCGCGTTTGAGTAAACTGACCGAAAAGGAAGACGAATATGTCTTTTCGTGGAAACTTTTCACGGGATGGGACTTTATGATCGGTAACCCAGAAACCGCGCACAATCGTACAGCCAGCATCGTGGTTGGCTTCAAAGAGGCCTTAGTGGAAGAAGCGGAAAAGCAAAAGGACAAGAGAAAGTGAGTTCTATACTAATTTTTTAACATTAGAGAATATTATGCAACGACAACTGTTCTTCTACAGATTTTACGTATTCCTATAACTGTCTAATATATAGTTATGTATTTCTTACTCTGATCGAAAATTTTGATCATCCTTGATGCACAGAGATAATTATATTTCTATCTTTCTAAAAAAGATTGTGATTAAACAATGTAGGTCTCTTTATATCACATTTTTTAGTTATATATTTTATAAAAGTATACATAATGTATTCAACTGTGTTTCGTAGTTGGAGAATCATTTCGATGAGAATATTTGTGAACGTGGCAGTGCTGTCGTTACTCGCACTGTCGGCATACGCTGTGATCAAGGTGGTCGAATGGAGCATCGAGGAGTCGCAAAACTGGTGGCAACAGAGCGAAATCACGATTGTGATGTCTCTGATCACATATCTCTTCCCGATACTCTTCGAGATCCTCGGCTTTCTTGAAAGTTATCACCCCAGGAAACAGCTCCGAATACAACTAGCGCGGTAAAGAGCTATACAGGAAAGGTCCCTGATTACACTGTGTGACCGATTTCAACTTTTAAAATTTTCCAAAGGGCGCGTGGGTTTCATTGTGTCGGGAACACGGCCCACTATCATTTTCCCAAGAGATTTGGTAAAGTTAGATCGTAGAAGAATGGGGCATAAATTTGAAGTTATTAATTTCGAGGAGTACCAGTTGCGCTATTCTCATGGTTTTGAAATCAAATATTATCACAAATACGTACACGCACATACATACACATACTCACACTCACACTTATGCGCTCAAGCGCGAACTTTGTTTTGCAAATACATGAGATAGCATTAGATAGTAGGATCTGTGAAGCTGGCACGACATTCTGTCGATATCAAATAAATTACAACAGTTCCAGTAGCACTTTTCATAGTTCTACAGTTCTACCTAGAAATAAAAAATAGTTCCGCAGTTTTAATATGAAAGAACTAAAATTGAAAATATGGCGTGCTAACTACGCGAATCTGGCACGTCAGATTTTCTCTAAAGTACGAGAAAAAAATTAATATTTGCACTTTTAGCAACAGTTCCCGATAGTTCTACTAAAAACCAACTAAGTTATGCATTTTCAAAATAAAATAACAACATTTAACAATTTTTATACATCATATATATAGAAAACGGCATAAAACTTCTAGAAAAAGTGACGTGCTGACTATTTCTATTATAAATTACGCTTAGCGTTTAACTTCTTTTACGTTGTTCCAATTTACGCCTTCTGTTAGAGAAGTTTCGTTTATATTTCTGTTACTTTTTCCTTACATTCGACTTACGCTCCAATTTCTATAATATTTTTATCAAGATAGGCGTCTATTTCATAATAGGAGGCTCTCCTCTATACTTATTAATCACCGATAGAATATATAATACATCATCATGCACCGAGTATAAGCGGCGCATTTGACTGTCCTTTCGTTTCAGAATAATGGTCTTAAATTTGCTGAATCTTTACTCGCTAATATTCGCACTATTCCGTAAGATAAGCCCTATGGTAAGTAATTTGTTAGTATACGTGAACTGATGAAGATCATGAATACGCAACGTTATTCACGATATTATCCGTCGATGTTTTATACATTTAGACGTCATTGTTTTTTGAACATGTGAATGTATTTCCTTTACAGAAATATGGCAATTTGAAACCGATAAAGAAATGCACATATAAATTAGTACCGTGTGACGTCATACTGAACGAGTTGACGCGTACGCAACGAATCGCAACGTTAGCATCTTTAAGCCTTGCTTTAATAAGCAATATGACCCATTCTCGTGTTAAAAAGGAAATATCGGAGTCAAGTATGATCTATTTAAATTTTTTAAATCAATATACTTCCGACAGACACACGTGCTATTTCAATTTATTGCAAATTTTAAGAAATATCTAAAGTAACTACATAATAAGATAATAGTACAATATAAGTAATTGTCTTAATTATTTTTCTTCTTCCTTCATCATTTCAAAGCAATTATGGAAAATGATTTGTAAAGTAAGAACTCGACTTCATAGCAAATGAATTACAAACATGCCGACTTAGAAAATAGCACAAATGTGTGTCACGACAGAATTATATGTTGTTTCTTTACCCAATGATAAAAGACGATTTTACGATTTTCTGACAAAAATTTAATCGACACGATTAAATTGTTTTCATTTAGCGCTACCATCCATCAGGCAAGAGATTTTCTTTCTTAATCCTTTGCTGGACAATGATACTTTATACAAGGACTTCAATGATACATACGATTATAAAGATTATCCGGATTACGATAATTATTATCGGCCTTCAGATACGGATAGTAGGGACGATTCTTCTACTATATCTTATTATGAGGATCAATATACCGAGAGTATGGATGATAACGAAATACATTATGACGCAAGCTCGACAGTAATTTCCAATTTTCTGACTGATTCAACAATTGCTGAACATTTCTATACAAGTTCTACTTTATCTCAAAGCGAAACTACAGCATCAACGACACTCGAATCAAACATAATGGAAGGTACATTGTACTTCCTGTGTCTTTATACGCTCAATTAATAATTAGTCACATTTATTTCTAGTTAAACACGAACTTACAATAACATCACGTCACAATATTACATTTTCCCACACTCAATATAAGCAGAATATAACACATGTAGTATGTACATAATATATGTATATATAATTAGGTAAACTATTAGTTTATATTTGACGGCTACATATGGATTAATTTTTATAATTATTTAAAAAAGGATCTTTTTTTTTATTTAGAAATGTACACATACTCTGAAACTATTTTAAATTATTTTGAATAATTAATTAATAATTATAATAACTGATGTTAAATTGGCAACAAATAACAGATTGTATGCCGTCACAGATTCATCGGAAACTGTTGATATTGATTTTACTGAAGGAACAATAACTACTCCGCCAACTTCAGACAGCAAGACGTCATCTGTCGGAAAATTTAACGTTACATCTACAATAGCAGACACTACAACAATTGCAACGCATGTTCCGGAAAGTAACTTTTCTACTTTGCAATCGAGTAATGTGAGTCTCTCCCCAAAAAGAAATGATACAGACAAATGCTATGAAAGGATTTGCACTACTATACTAACAAAGAATTTAGGTAAAAAAAAAGTAACGTTTTTTCCTGCAAATCTATATTTGTTATTTCTCTTCAATTTTTGGCAATAAATAAATTTATTTTCAGACATGCCATTAGAACAGCTGAGTCTGAAAACATGCAGAAAGCGTCGCTGTTGGGAAACTATGTTCGGGCAAGAACTTGCCAAACTCACTGTCATGGATTTGGTAACAAAACGAATTTTACAAAATCCAAAAGTTGGATCAATAGAATTTGCTTATTATATATATTTTTGTTAGATACTCACTATATTAGCCACTCTCTTCATGGATTTCTTCCGCTCTGTTTTCGTGCGTTTTATGAACAACTGCTGGTGCTGGGATTTAGAGAAACAATTTCCGCAATACGGTGATTTCAAAATAGCTGAAAATATTCTGCATTTAGTCAACAATCAAGGCATGGTTTGGATGGGGATGTTCTTTAGTCCTGGTTTAACGGCACTGAATCTCTTCAAGCTTGGTATTCTAATGTATTTACGTTCCTGGGCGGTTTTGACGTGCAACGTACCCCACGAAATAGTTTTCAAAGCATCCAGGTTGAAATACATTTGTGAAAACTACATATGTTACATTTTTCTAGTTTCGAATCAAATAAAATAATTAAAGTGCATGTTTGGAAATAGCCAAATATCGCACATTGTATTTAAATCGTTCCTTTAATTTTATATGTATACTTATCTATATATATATAATATATTCACACACAATTATTCGCCGCAATCATTTTTTTATATATTATTACAGGTCTAACAATTTCTACTTTGCGCTGTTATTGACTATGCTATTTTTGTGCGTGTTACCGGTCGGTTACGCTATAGTTTGGGTCCAACCTTCGCGGTATTGCGGTCCATTTTCTGGTTATCCAAAGATTTACAACGTAGCGACAAAAAGTTTGATAAACTCGCTTCCAAAAACAATTCAACAGTACGTTTTTTTTTTTACAGTAGCGTTTAATTAATTTTTTAATGCAAATTTATTTTAAATTCAGATTATCTTTTGTTGAGATTTATACAGTCGAAATAATTATGCATCTCAAATATAATTCATTGAAAATTTTATTCTCATTTAGAATTCTGGATTACATTGCATCGCCTGGTACGGTAATACCATTAATTGTCTTCATGACGTTGATTATTTATTACATGGCGTCTCTCGCTGGATCTTTGCGAGAAGCGAATAACGATCTAAAGGTAACATATGTATAAAGGAATATATGCGATACATAGAACTCCATTAAATTGTATGATGTTTAATATTTCATACTTAATTATCATTTTTAATATTTATTATTATCTATTATTAATTTTATATTTATATAAACGTTCTAGATGCAACTACGACACGAGCGTACAGAAGAACGTCGAAAGTTGTTCAAAATAGCAGAGAAGAGGCATACCGTAGCCGAGACTCCGCTATCGAGGTGGAAAAAAATTCTTCCGGCGTTGCCGCAGGTCAGAATGTCTCAAAATTCCGAAACAGTTGAAAAAGATAATGTAGAGATCACAATTGGGAATGTGAATACAATGGCAGATGCTGTTGAAAATAAACACTTGACAAACGATACCGAAGAGCATTCGCTTCAGAATCAAGTATTATCCAATTATGACAACGAGCAACAAGTTGAAAGACAGGATGGTTTGATATTAAACGATACATCTTCTAACGGAAGGTATGATAATAACAATTAATAGCAAAAATTAAAATGGCAAGCTTTTCTATGTAAGCTTCTAATAAATAGATTGCATAATTAAAAATATGTTATATTTCTGAATTACGCATAATAAATAATTCTTATAAGTAGATTGACAAGCGTGGTCGGATGTTCTTGGGAATCGCCATCGAGTAAGCAAAGTGTTACCATACCGGAAATCCAAGACAATGAAGAAAAAGTCGTATCCGACGTTTTCGGAAGCATCGAATCGGATGATGTATTCGAAAACGGCAATCAAGAGATAACGTAACGAATTGAGTGTAATAAATATGGAACTATTTAAAAAAAAGAATAGGGAATAATAATTTTGTAAGGATTTGAGGAACCTAATTTCTCAGAATTCGTTTTGTACTAGTAAAACATATTAAAAGAGAGTCTCTTTATATAGAGAATTATAGATTCAGTATTAGTTATCTCATTTTTCAAACATATAATGCGGCATATATATTAAGCTTACTTTTACGATCGTAGATTTTGAAATATAAAATTTGAATTTGTGAAATATAAAATAGACATTTTGTGATTATTCATTTATTTTTACAAATATATGTGTGTAAAATATCGATAAATATTTTATAAATAACTATCGCACGTTGCTGAAGACAACATGAAACGGCTACCTCTAAACTTCCAGATTCGTGACGGATTTATAGAAACGTACACTATACACACGTAAAATTACACTTTGATTGAGCATTGGCACATTCCTAATATCTTTATCTTATCTTCAGATATTACATTACGTAAAAGATACTTATAACATTGAGCTGTTCCAAAATTATTTATACGTATACCAATATGTCCTGCATGTACAAAAATATATACTCCTCACCAGCAAACGTACGATTTAATCTCATGTTAGTATAAGTTAATTATACATTGTTTTTACGTAACGATCATTTAAAAAAAATCTATCAATGTCGAGGAACATAAATTAATTGTAATTAATTAATCAAAAGCTGTGTTATGTTATTGTATTGCACACTGGTTACAAATTACCTTTGCATTTTGATATCTTTTTTCTGCTTACCGATAAATATTAGTTTCCGAATATTTATACAAATCGTCATGAACGATGCAGAATATATCAGCATCTTTGCGTCAAGCGCTTACGTTGCTCCTCAAGAAGCATCGATGCCTCGCTCATAATTTTAGCAGAGGTTCGTACCAAGAATAATAATTGATATTCGTCTATAACGGTCAGCGCTGCCTTCGTCTTGATGAGAGCGTGAAGAACGTTCGCCCGTTCGAGGTCGAGCCATCTCTGAAGCGCCACTTCTCTTTCCCGTGGACCACCAAGTGGCACATCGGCCGGGCCCCACAATGAGAATTCCAGCACAGATTTCACCTAATTGCCAAAAGAATCAAACATTCATTTTATCCAAAGAATGCATAGGCAAATTTGTGCTGGCAACTAAATTTAGTAAATACATAAAATTAAACATAATAGCAACTATAAATGCACGAAATAACTAGGCATCGGTATTTCATTCATATCAACAATTTTTTATTTAAAAAAAGCATGCAAATTTAGTAGTTAAAAAAGAAATAAGTAGGCATGGTAAATTTACAGTTAAATTGACAATATTTGCAATCTTTGCACCTGCATCCCGCGAATTAGAATCGAATAGAAATGAGTCCTCACCTGCGAGAGTGTAACCGCTTTCTCGCGTATTAGTAAATCTTGTATGAGAGGTAGTTCGTCCGTCAGATGCAACTGTTGCAGTGCTATTAGAGCGCATTCGCACAAAGAGACCCGTTCCTCGCTGGACTCGTCGCTCGGGTCTATGTTTAACCTCCTGCAAAACGGAAGTTAAACATTGAATAACGGGATCGTGGAGGACCGTGCGATTGGATTATTATACTGTGTCAAGTTGTCGTTACACGAGAAAATACCAACCCTTGTAGTAGGTACAGTCGATAATAAACATCCTCTCTGCAGAGCACAACGTCGCTTAGAGACTTGCTGGCATCCTCGATCCCGCGTGCTTGAAGACTCTTCAGAGCGTTGACCAGTTGAAGAAAGACGAACGATGCCTCTCTGCTCGCGCCCTCGCCGTTTATATCCTTCGACGTCGCTCCAAATGATTGTATCGTAGTGACATTCAGGCACGGAAGAATTGATATTGTAGCTAAAACAAAAGAGAATTTTTGTTAGATATATAATCATTTATATTCTTTAAAGTATTTTCATTGAAAAATTACAGCATGTGTTACCTTCGACATCCTCGTTCTCGGAAGGCTGAACCTTTTCGATTATCTCCTTCGGCACTTTATCTACAAATTCTATTATAGGCGTTAAATAAAAATCCTTCTGTGGCATAGGCATAGCTAAATCAAATGCTATGCAAAGTGTAACATTTTGATCATTCCACGTAGCAGGACAAAATATTCTTCTACCGATGGAGACCGACGACAAAGTATCGACGTTAAAGTGCTTCAATCGGGGATTCGCGTTCTTGAGGGCACGCAAATTTGAAGGAAACTGGACAGTTTGATTTTCCTAAAAAAAAATGTAAAGTAAAAAAATCATCTTTTATTATGTTAATGCTGCATATCAATTAAATAAGGAATTATTTTGAATTTAAAATATTCCATGTAATGTAACTTCCTTCAAGGGAATCAATTATCTTCTTGAGTCTATGGTAAAGTCTGTAGACACGAAGCTCCTACAGGTCGAGGATAACAAAATCTTCGCTACGTGTATATGAGAGATCGATAAGAAACTCGTTTGTATCTGTTTCAGGCAAACAAGAACACACAACGGTAAATAATTATAATAAAGAGCTAACGTACCTGTTCAAGAAATTGGGCGAGCGCTTCGTGGTTCGCCACAACCACCGCGCCGTAATTATCCTCGAGGCTTCGATGAACGATAGTGCGCCCCCGGCGTTGCCTCAAGCGGCCCATCCTCAGCTCGTCATCCGTGTTCTTCCAATCCTGGTCCTCCTCAGCGCCCTGAGTTCACGGGCGTTCGATTAAAAAGGCGCATTTAATGGGAACAAAATGAAAAAAAAAGAACATCAACTCTGAAAGCGTACCTCGTCGCCAGTGTAGAAGGTATACGGCGCGTAAAGTTCGCTCTCCGTCTCGCTGCCGCAATACGGCAACGAGATCGACCTCACGAACGAGGGTTGATGATGAGCCTTGGAATCTCCGATTATCGCACTGCTGTCGGACTTCCTTTTGCATGCGGCGCGGAATCCGTTTCCGCTTCCGTGTCGCAGCTCAAGATTCGAATCGCACTCGGGCGAACTAGAGAGGCACTCGTACATGTGACTGTCGTTGGATGTCTATTGAAATGCAAGAAATCGCTGTTGAGGTGGTTCCATGAAATGACAAAGCAATATACGACGACCCTCGATATTTCATCGGATATAAATTTTCTTGTCATTTCTTTCTCTTGAACTATTAGAGAACTGTTACTGTGTCCTTATATTAATTATTCTCTCGTACTTTTTCTATTGTAATTAATGAAAGAAGAAATAACGCAGATATTATTTTGACAAAAAAAAGTGACGTTGATATATATTATACCAAGTTTAAATATAAATTCTAAAACCGAATTGTTTACTTCAATCTGCTTTCCTTTAAAGATATTATCTACCATTTTCTCTTTAATGTTTTTTTTCCTTATTCCGTTTAACAATAAAATGTGTACAGGAAATTATTGCAGCAACAACAACAATTATCTTTTTTTCGCTGTTTCCCAAGCTCTCTATGAACATTCGCCTATCATAAGTATAAAAAATACCGGATGCAGCGTGTGAATCTTGTTTCGTATTATAGCATTTTCATGCTGCAGTCCCACAATAGTAATCGATTGACACTCAATGTTCGCGTGTACGTCATCTGGAGCCGGCTTTAGACAGACCGATATGTAGAAAAGCCTCTCTTACCGGCGACTCGGAAGTGGGTCGTGCAGCGGCGAGCCGATCGTAATCCCGGTGCTGATCTTCAGCCAGTGACCTTTTCGTGACGGGTTGGGAAACTGCTCGATCTCTCATGCTGGCAGTTCTTTGGGGTTTCGAGGGTGTCAGGGCGCTGCGCACCTCACCTGTAACATCCTCCGCTGCTGCAGGCACGATCCGCCATCGTCAAGCGCCACGGGTTAGTATCACAAGACACAAGGCATGTCAACGAAACGGGCTAGCTATCCGGGCTTAGATAGTTCGCCTAACACACTACTGGGATACACTACTGGAGGGTCAGCCGCGCAACGCAGAGTCAAATTTGACGTAGCGATACGACGGACGTTAGTTCACTCGGACGTTCCACGTACCTATGTAGACTAATCGCTACTGCAGTTATATGCGAACTATTTGTTTTTTACTATCCAAATACTCTCTAATAGAGTCTCGCATCTAAACCCGATTTTATCAGCACTCAAGCGTTGATGGAGCTAACGTGGACCATGCGAGGATAAGTCCTTCCGCCGACGAAGCTTTCGAGCAACGTCTGTTACGCGACAAGCGAAAACGGGCATTGGGATCGACATAATTGGGATAACATAGCACATATACGACATTTTTTTTTTATCTTTCTGCAGGCGGGGATCTTCGATTTTATTACAGAAACGTACATTATGTATAACTTTTAATTAAATTGAATAAGACTCCTTACGTGATGTCGATCACAGCGCATGCAATGCGTGCGGCGTTAGTTGCACCCAGCGTCGGTTAGAGGAGTCCTCGACTAACGTTGCTCGTGGTACGCACCGTTACGTAACCACTGCAGAAAGAGGAAAAAAAAAAAGAAAAAGAGGAAGAAAACGGAGAGAGACGTGAACGCGGATATGCGCGCGGTTTACGCTTGAATAGTCGCGCTTATGTCGGCGCGATAGACGTCGCCGTTGTTCGCGTTAATGAGAGAAGGAGGAGACAGAAAAGATATGCGGAGGTGCAACGAACAAGCCACAGCATCGGCGATTATATGTACCGTACGGCATATGTGTGAGACGGCGCGATCGAAGAGAAAGAATGACCAAGAAAGCCGAACAATTGAAAAGAACAAGACTCTAAATTTCTTTTTAAACAATATACGTTTATTCATCAGATACAAATGTTCGATATTACAGCTCTTGTCTTTTGCACTCTTACACAAAGCATTTCGTCGACGAATATACAACAAATAGCACAAATAACATTTTATTTAACCAGCCATTCTCAAACTTTATATTGTAATATCTTATCGCGGAAACTTGCATTGCAAAAGCAGTCGTGTGTCTCAACAATAAAAAGCTACAAGCCTTCGATATTGCTTAATATTACATTACGTGAAAACGATACCGGTGCTTAAAAGCCGAGTCTTGTCCGAAAGAATAGGAATACGTTCTTTCAGTAAATGTTACGAAACATTATTATCAATATAATACGTATCACAGAATATTGTGACTTTCTAAGAATAATTTTACTTCTTTTAGGACTTACAAATCCTTTCATACGATTTGTATCTTATTATTTATTAAAATGTCGCGTTTCCATCATCGAAATTTGAACTTGTCTAAATTATATCTCAGTTTCAAAATCCCGAGCAACAACCCGACCAACTGCGCGGTGCGCAGAATCGGCAGAATCCAGTCGCGTGCAGTTCGTTAAGTGAAACATCGTCTATTCTCCCCGAGGATGCAAGTTAAACATCACCACGTGGCTCAATCGCTGTACCCACGCAAGCGAAGCGACGTCTCTCCCGTTTTAAAAAGCGGTTGGCGCGAGGATTCGTGTGAGTATGGCTGTTAACATCGAGAAAATGGTCGCGACGATTAACTCAGTTACACTGTATGGGCCTGAACTTACCCAGATTCGCGTAAATTGAATCCGAGGTCGTCGACGGCCTCCAAGTGGCTTTCGACGTCTTTTCGTTTCTGGAAGCGACGTTCAATTTGATCTCCGCACGAGGTGGCGGCGGTCTGACTGGCTTGTTCGCCGAATCCAATCTCGCCCAATCCTCGAGGGATTGATTCCTTGGCGGCGGGGGTGGTTTGCCAGGCCTCGCTGTAGTAAGAACGTAATGTTTCTTTTCCTCTGTGACGAGGCCATGCGTTTGTCTAATATGGTACACGTATACTGAGCGACTAAATAGCAATCAAATGTGATTAATTTCTATATACCTTTAAACCGGAATCCACAGTCCGTTCTTAAACTCAAGATCAACTCAAGCAATGTCTTAAGACGTTAATACGGTTCTCTGATTGGTTTGTGACGTCTTAAGCGCTAGCTTAAGAACATTTCTAGTTTTGAGCAACATCTGGATTCCGCCTTTAGTTCCAACCAATCACATTAAATTACTATTTAATCGCTTAATTGTAGTACTAAATGCATCTATCTTGCACACATGTGTACTATATACAGAGGATGTATCTTAAAAAGCGTTCACTGATCATAAAGCGATATCCCTAATCAAAAACTTACCCGCGATCGCTGGAGGCAACCGCACCATCCTGGAGCCATCGTTTTTGACAGTGCAGGAATCCGTTTGGTCCTCGTTCATCCTGGCGATAATCCTATCATTTCCCACTACCTCGACCGCGGCACCGTCCAACTCCAACGGATGGATTATTTCTAATCGTAGTTTCGGTTGCGGCGTCGACGGTATTTCGTCGGTCTTCGCGCCTGACGTTTGCCCGGTAATCATATCCATGTCCTTCCTCGTGCCCATTCGCAGGAACCTTTTGAGAGAGAAACCTCTTCGGTTTCTACCCCTCTTCTTTTCCTCCCGCACGTCCTTTTCCGTCGTCAAGCTGTCTTGTGACAGAGATATCGTTCTCCTAGGCACGGGCTCGATCGGCTGTTTGGTAATCTCGTTCGTCGGGTCCGGCAGATCGCAGACCGCCTTACGAAACTTCGGACTGCACGAGGACGATCTCTCTCGCTTCTCTTTTTCGCGAACGACCGGGGAATCAGACTTCAGATTCGCTCCCGGATTTCTGGCGAACAGAGAGGAGACTGGCATGAGATCCTCCATGGATTCCGGCGGTCGCGGAGCCATCTTTCTCTTGTTCGGCGAACGTATGAGCTCCATTGTAGAGATGGAAACCGGAGTAATTTCGGGAAATTCCTCATCTAGCATAACGTTCTCTTCCATTTCTTCGTTACTCATCGGATAATTTCTTAAAACTGGCGGTGTAGTTACGGAAGTGAACAACGGCGAGAGAGAGGACTTTAACGGAGTTTTCGCTTGATATCCGGATTCTGAGGTTTGAGCTGTTGGTAGGACTTGATCGGGTTCCGATAAAATCTCGTTCGTAACGTTCTTCTTCGTTGAACATCGAGAGCTCATATCCTGCATACCTAGAAAGAGATAGTAGGACACGTCGTGATGATGGTTAAGGGAACTTCTGCATGAAATTTTTTCAAAAAGCTAAAGAATAAAAGACGCAGCTAAAACGTAGAAAAAAAAAAAGAAATTTTATGTTACTTTCATTGTAGCGATATTTATACGATCGTAAATTGTTTTTTTATTAACAAATTAATTTTAACCAGCATAAAATTTGAAATATAATTTCTTCTACATCCTCAAACATTAAAATCTATCTCAGACATAAACTAACGAAACGGGACTTCAAAAAATTTCGATAGAACGTAGCGCAATAATTAGAAGCAATTTTTCAAAATTGAACAAAATATGATAAACATTAAAATTTTCTTTATCAAAATAACAAATAATTTAAGCAATATTTCTTGTGCTTTTTAAAATTGCTCTTTATACTAATTATTAGACTCACCTAGATTTTGAGCGGATCTGCTGACAACGGTTTGAACCGAGGGAGGCGGTAATACATAATCGCCGTTGGGAATTTTCCTCACTGTGAGCGGACCATCGTTTAAGCTCGCCTTCGCGGAAAAGGTCGCCGGTTTCTGCGGTATGGCCGGCTTCGTCTTCAAGTCGGCATTCACGCTACCGTGTAAGAAAGAGGGCCTCGGTTCTGTGGTTATGATCGGCGGTGGACTCGTGGGCAACGCTGGTGGTTCCGTCACTTCCTCATCCGCTTTACCATCCGGTTCGCCCGCGAGCTCGCGGCTGCTGTCGAAACAGAACTTCTTCCGTTCCGCGCCCTCGCATTCTCCTTCGATCTCTCGTACCTGCGACGACGGAGCTTCCTTACCGCCACCAACACCGTTGACACTCTTGTCGTCGACATTCATCGGTCGAACACTCTCCAGTGTCGCCTCGTTCTTCGAAGGCGTCAACGAGACGTGCTCGACCCTCTCTTCTTTTCCTTGGTCTTGTTTCGCACAATCGCTTTTACTCGTCATCGTCCTCTTTACGCTCTCTCCCACGTCATTACTCAGCACAGATTGCGCAGACATTCTCGACGAAGTCTCGATTTCAGTCTTCTTTGACGCTGAAACGGCGTTAAGGGGGACACTTGTGGCGTTATTCTTGTCGACTTTAGAGACGGACAAGTATTTCTGCGCCGTTGTTTCCACCGTCTTCACCGCGTCTGCGTTGGCAGTATCCGTCGTTGTCTCCCTCCGTATGATGGAAATCATATTGGCAGAGGTGATCAACGGCATGTCTACGATTTTCTCCAATTCCGGGGGAGATTTTTGTTCTTGCTCTTCGATCTTATTCCGCTCTGGACCATTGAGTTTCTTTGCGGCCTTTAACATTTAATATAAAAAGATCTATTGGAAACTGCCTTCCAAAGTAATGTTTAAGTTCGTAAATGTAAGAATTGTAACAAAATCATTAAAGACAGTCTTTTTAATAGCTATCAATGGTTAAAAAAGAATTCAAAATATTTAATAGATGTTATTTTTTATTATAGAAAGTGCAATATCGTATTAATTTCATTATCATTTAAATGTGCTGTAATTAATACCATTTAGTCGCTAATATTCATTTTTGTTTATAAAATCGAGAATAAAATAGTCAACTAGTATCTAATTGAATAATCTGATTAAAAACGAAAAAAGATAACCGCGATAAAATTTGAATGATTTTATGCTTTCGTTTTACTTACCTCGGCGATGTTATCCGACGACCCATCATCACCGGGTTTTAATCTAATAAACGGACTGGTTTGCAAGTTGATCGTGTTGATCTTTCGATCGGTCGGTCTTTTAGCGGTGGGTACGGTCTCCTCTCCACCGAAAGGCGTTACGGAGACCAGGAGAGTCGTTTTCCTGCCATCGGCGTCTCTCTGTATTTTCCCCAGCATCAATGAGGCGAAGGATTTGGCAGGCGACGCCGTCGACGACTTGGACACGTCGTGCGAACTGTTGTTCTCGACGTTCGTCAGATTTGCGGTGACCGTGTTGAAATTTGTATTCACACGGGTCAGGTCGATTAATGCACGTTCCTCCTCGCTGTCCGGCACCAGGTCCTCCGATTTCGCAGAAGAATCGACCTGGATCCCATCCCTATCCTCCTCACCGTCCGAGAAGTCATCGCCGCCATAACCGATCACCTCGGTGAGAGACTCGGAGAAACCGACGTTCTTTTTTCGTTGATCTTTTCGACAAGCCGTCTTGTCACGAAGGATACTCTGCAAGATCGTTCGATCATCTGATTGCAGTAGGAAATGCGACTTTTCTATATATATAAATAACTAACCAAACAGGAAACGTTTTAATCGCTCTGATTGATTATTCTTATGTCCCGTTAATTAGATGTACGCATGTAGTTATGCGATATACAAATAACTCGAAAAGCGAGTTGTTCTAATATGACATTAACGATGATAGATAGTGTTATCTTCAAATAAAATATCGACCTTTTGGATAAAATATTAATCGACACGCGTACTATAATATGTACATATAAACTGAACTAAACGGTAAATAATCTAAATCATATAAAAGTAATCAATAATAATTATAAGTATTAATAGCTGCGTTCACCCGCAGCAGAAAAAACGGCCTAATAAATGATAACTGAATTATACTTTTTAATCTATATAAATTGAGATAGAGAACTACGTTCCTCTAGATCTAAAAACAATTCAAATGTAATGCAGTGTTTATAAAGCTGTTTTTCCTGCTGATTGCTGCAAAATTGTACATAAACAAAATATATAAACATTTTTTATGTAATTGTGATATATTTAATCTAATAATTCAGAAAAATGTTGAATTCGCCCCTAAATACAACAAATAAACCTATTGTGTATATATAATTAATATATACACCAGCATATAATATATTATTATGTGAAAGTTTATACCTGCAACTGAAGGTGGTCAATCTTTAAATTCGTGGAAGCCTTCTCAACGTTCAATCGCAGGACATCGTCGGCCGGCGCATGTTCCTCCTTCGGCTTGAAACAGTTCGAGCAGAGCTCCTTCTTCCAGGCGTTTTGCACAAAGCGATTGCATTGTGTGGACATTGTTGCCTCACCGCGACAGCGACAGCGAAAGCTCCGTTACATCATCACTCTGAAAGGAAAGAGGTGAAATAGTAATCGATTCGATTCTTCAGCCGGTGCAACGATCAACGGTGCACTGTGCACGCGCAACCAACGGACGTTGACAGAGCGCGAGAAATTATTTCGTTCCGAGAGAATTTCACACTTACGTGTGAAAATTAATTTGCCCGAGATTATAAATCTTCTCTTTAAAATTTCTGAAAATTTTCCAAATTCCATCGAATGCCTCTCAAAAAGGCTAATACGGATGATCAATTGCAGCCGTTCTCTAGAATACGCTTAACGACGAAGCGCGGCTGTCAACGAGCGATTACCTTGGACGGTCGTTAAAAACCAAAACGAAACGAGTGAGTACATTTTCCTGTCCGCAGCGTCGGCAGTGGCTACTGTAGCAATACAATCGGGACAATTGACTGGAGCTGCCCGACCGGCTGAGTAATTGCCTCACTTCCGGTCTCGGCTTTATTTGCAACAGCGATGGCCTAGCCCGTACCCGTCATTAGCAAGTAATACGTAAGGATATTGTGCCATTGCGAATTTGTCTTTCTATCAAGGTGGTCAGAAACGAGAGTCGAGCAATTAATTTTGTTCTACGCAGCTACACTTTCTGGATATTTCTTTAGATTGTTTCCATTCTGCAATCTATAAAAACAATTTTCTCACTAACGAGATGCCCTAATTGATATAACCAAAAATAAAAGTTTTTTGAAAAGTGTGTGCTGCACAAAAAACATTTACTTTTGATTATATCATTTAGGGCATCGTTAATGAGAAAATTGTTTTTATAGAACGTATTATTCAAAAATCCAATACAGTCACTTAAAATATATAAAAATTCTATTTACATCTAAAAGAACGATTTTGCTGAAATATGTAAAAATTTAGGTATTTAGATCAGAAAATAATTTTATTGAGTCATTAAAATAATCGCAGTAGGAAACTCAAGAATGATGAAAACTGTGTGGCAAAAACATTGTTTTGACATTCTGCAGCAACCAACTTCAGCATCCTGTATAATTATTTTGACAGTCCAAGAAAATTTCAGTATTTAACTTAAACTTTTAGATACTTTATCAAAACTAAACTGTTTTTTTTTTTTGTTAATATTAACACAAAGTTCTTCATTTGGACTTCATGAATCATCCTCTCGCTATTGACAAATGTTCTATTGCATAGCAGCTGTGAAACTGGAGAACCCTCTCTCTCATCATTTAGATATTAATCGCAGGGGAAATTGCGTGCGCGACACACCGGAACGAAGGATATCATCGAGGACGAAAAGAATCGCACAACGCGACGTCAACGGTGATGTCCCATTAACATGCAGGACTTGCAAGTACTCGCAGACCAGGCACGAAGTACCGTTGCCAATCTCGTTGATCCGTTACGTCTCTCGCGTTCCTGCAGTCCGCGCCTTTCATACACGTGAAAAATTTGCGACGCGGTCACATAAGAATTTCGATTAACATCGAAAACGTGTTTCATGATTGAATTCCAAGCTTTTCTAGGAAAATCAGAAAAGAACCCATCGCCAGTTCGGACCAGTTCCAAAGTAGAAAAAAAAAAGAGAGGAAGCAAAGAAAGGGAAAAAGGTTGAATTGCAGTTCGTGCAGTGGCACTGAGGCAAACGTAATTCTCGCGACAAAGCAATAGGAACTTCAAGGTTGTTATCTCGCTTAAATAGAGTTCAAAAGGTCTAAGTAGACAAACGCCTGAGAGTTCCGTGTTTGGAATGTGATTTAGCTCTTCAACTGAAACATTTTGCTACGCTTTAATAAATTTTTGAAATTCCAGGCTGCTACATTCACACATCTATTTCTATATATAAATTGATTAGTAGACAATAATTTTTGTATTACATATTAAATATTCCGAAAAATTAAACATTTGTTAGATATCATTTTGTAACCGAATGAGACAATGCCACAGCGAATTTATATACTACACGTATTTAATTCTTCAGACTTGTAATGTAATTTTTTCAGACTTGAAACGCAACGTTAATAAATTACCGCAGTAATATCACGAGTTAAATTAATTAACAATTTAACGATTATTGATGCTGTTTACGCATTTTATATCGATCTTAATAATTATTAACCGACAAAACGCATTAACTTAAAATATACAAATCGTTCTCGGAGACGACTCCTGGTAACTGCAGATTCATGATAATAGCGCTGTGCATTTACTATAAATTAAGTACATTCTTCATGTAAGCGTTTACCACATAACTGTTCATTTATAGTAATTGTCGTGGTTACTACTCGGAGATTACTGTAAATTAATCCCGTATCTACATAACAGCGTCTTCTACGAAAAGGGATAAACCCTCTATATTTTTACACGGAACCGTCTGGGTCGCTACAAAGTTCCTTTCTTCTTTGGTTACAGAGGCGGACCTTGTCGAGACTTCTCATTCCATTGAGATGACGCGTGGCGTGGCGCGCCAAGGCACAGCAGACGAAGAGCAAGGCGAGGTTCAATGCCAATGAATTTTACATGTTGCAACACTCGAAGGCTTTAACCCTACAGAGCTCTCTTGGGAAGGCAGAAAGTTCCTCTCGCGGCTTTGTTACTTGCCGCATAAAACCTCTTGTTTTAAGACCTTAATTATATCTGTTTCAAATGTAGAGAGAAATTTAATTACAGTTTACAGAAACAGCTTTGGACTTATCTCAAGGTTGTAGATGAGAAGAAAGAAATCGATTAAAAGTGTGAGTGAATATAAGTATATGACGAAGCTTGGATTTTTATTATATAAGAATTCATCAATATTGATCCGCGAGAAGTTCAGATTTCCTTATTGGATATCTAATATTTGTACGCCACACATTTACCACGAATAGCAATTAACCGATAATGGAATAATCCAGGTGTTCAATCGATGAATGTGTGTAAGTTGTATGCACGATATAAGTAAGTGATATTATTTATTTAGTCTACCTTTGTGCGGAAATGACAACGGCAGTGATAACGCGTTCGACGTAGCGACAGACCCTGTGAATCATCCCATGCGCGAAAAGTGCTAAGTGCATCACGAAGTAAATAAATAATTGTCGACGTTCGTCTCACGTTATTTCCCACAGAAACG